ATTAACCTAATAATTGATTAAATAATAAGTAAATGATACAATGAACGAATAACGTTTATTATTTTTATAATTTACACCGTTCCTGTATTTTCACATTTCCTTTACATTCAATTTCAAAATAAAATTACATCAGTAACTATTTATCCAGACGTAGGTTAAAACTGTTTTTATTTTGACGTGCCAAACAGTATCGACTGGTATCGATCATAATTCTATAAACGCCTGATCGAGCATTGAAAATATAAGACGTACACTTATTAACACTCGTTTTCAATTTTGTCCCCTAGGGGAAACTAACACATGCACATAGCTGGCTCAGTTTCGTTGTTACTAGCTGCCTCTGTTCCGCGGTCGTCATGATTCGAGAGTCGATCGCGAGATATCGCTTCTACGGCCAACGTTGAAGCGGTTCTTCTGCCGATGTGTGTCTGTCTGGCGGTTTTCGATTCGAAGTAGAGACGGGGATAATTCCAGCGTTCGCTTCGAAACCGGAAGATTCGCGTTTTTTGTCTGGCACGCTCGCTCTGTGACGCGTTCTCGCTGTGATTGTTCGCGGCATCGTCGTCGTCGTCGTCGTCGTCGTACGTTCGTGCGATGTTAGTTGGCACTCTGTTCCACGAGGCGTTGCGTTATTTTTTTAGTGGCTGCCACTTCGATGTTGTGATCGCACTCGCCTTTGATTAATTGCAATTTGCGGAGCGAGGCGAGACGCGCGAACGCAATCATGTTCTGGGCCAATAATTACATGTCGTCTCCCAACATCGAGGCGCTCCTCAACAAAGAGGTAACCACCGACGTCTTCTTCCGTTCAGTGTGATGCGTCCGTCTGATTTTCGACCGCTCACCGAGATTCTGTGCGAACGGTGCTGTACGCGTCACGCTCGGTCTCTCGTTTCATTCTTCTCGCGTCCGGCTGCTGTTGCCGTTCTTTCCCCGTCCGTCGTTTACTCACTGTCTTTGTGTGTCTCCGTCGTTTCGCAGAACGTGACGTTGCACGAGCTGATGGACGAGGAGGATATTTTGCAAGAGTGCAAGGGCCAGAATAAGAAATTAATCGAGTAGTAAGTAACACCGATGACGACCACGACGAGTTCGCTTCATTCGGCGACCGTTCCCTTCCTCCCCGCGGGATGGATCGTCCGACGAACGTCGTCCTCGTCATCGTCCTCGTCGTTGTCTCGAGGGCGGTTGCGAACGCTGGCGTTTTCACCAGCCTATCGTTTTCGTGCCGTCCGCCCGACGCTCACGTCGCCACATTGTTTTGCGTAGTCTTGCGAGGTCCGACGTCTTGGAGGAACTCATATCGCTCACCACCAGAGAACCGTCAACAGACATAGAGGAACGTTGGCGTTATAGATATCCGAACATAGCTTGCGAGTTGTTGACTTGCGACGTCCCGATTTTGAACGAGAAGTTGGCAGGTACGCCGTGAACCGGATTTGCGTTTCCGCACGGTTCTCCCCGATTCGACAGGACGTTTTCCTGTTCTTCTTCTTCTTCTTCTTCTTGTTTTGCAGGCAACGAGACGCTTTTGGCCAAACTCTATTCTTTCATCGATACGGACCAGCCGTTGAACCCCCTTTTGGCGTCGTTCTTTAGTAAGACTATCGGGGTACTCATCGGTCACAAGACTGTTCAGGTGATTGTCTGTTCTTTCGTCGTTCTCGACTTCTCTCGCTAATCCGACGTGTCTCGCGTTCCATGGATGCGAGAGATGACGCGACGACGACTTGCATGATGCATCGTTGCGTTACGAGTATTAAACGTGGTACGTTCTCCGTTTTCCTCTGATCCCTGCTGCCGACCACCCGAACGCGTCCTCCGAATCCTACGTTTCCGTCCCGATTTTCCAGAACTGGTATTCGTATCAGTTCACTTGTTTGCAGCTTTTAGCCTTCTTGAAGAGCCGTCAGACCTGCGTCGATTTGCTTCTGCGACATTTGGAGACGTCCGCGATCATGGATCTCGTGCTGAAGCTTGTCAGTCAAGTCGAGGGAAATATGCGACAACATATACTGAACGTACGTGTAGCCACGCCGGCTCCCGACCGGTTCGAGTCTCGTCGATCTCGATTCGTCGTTATATTTTCGCCGATCGATGACGGCTCTGTGTGTGCGTGCGTGTGTGCGTTCGGATCCTGAAACGATCCTCGTTCGCTTTCTAGTGGTTGGACGGCCAACGGCTGGTGCAGAGACTCGTCAAGTTGATGTCCCCCGATTCCGAAGCCAGCAGACACGCGAACGCCTCGCAGTTGCTCTGTGACATGGTGACCGCCGCGAGGGAGAATCGACGTACGTCCACGTCGCGCACCGGTCCGGATCCTATTTTGAATACTCTCGAATCGTGAGTACTTCCTGAGAAAATTCAGCCGCAGCCACGAACCAAATTTTTCCTCTCCGTCCGTGCTACTCGCGCGCCCCGATTGCCTTCATTCGACGCGGTTCTGCTTTCCGTTACAGTCCGGATACGGTCGGCCTGATATTGGAAACTGTTCTCACCGGTGACAGGAAAGTGGAGAGTAGTATTATCGGTGGGATTCAGGTACTTCTTACCCTTTTCCCGAAAACCAACGACGAAAGGTAAGCGGGTGTTTTGGGCGTCATTTGTTCTTTTTCTTCTTGCTGTTGCGAGAGAACGAGAGAGAGAGAGAGAGAGAGTGTGTGTGTGTGTGTGTGTGTGCGCGCGCGCGCGCGCGTGTGTGTCTTATCACGAATCGGACGTTGCAGCGGAATGAACGAGGGCAATTCGGTTCAGAACGGCATGGAGGACGAGGGAACCATGGACAGCACGGAGGACCGTGTCAAGATGTCGTATGCGACTTTGCCTTACTTCGAGCAGCTGCACAGACTTCTCACGGATCCACCTTATGTAACTCTCGTGATATTTTTTCTTTTTCTGAGAAGACGAGACGTCAGGTTTTTTCGAACTGGTCGACTGCTCGCCGCGTCCTCTCGGTTTCCAACGACTTGATTACAGTGACTGTATGTGTGTGCGATTGCGATCGTGTGTTGTTGCAGAAGCCTCCTGTCAAGACGACTCTCGGTGTCTTGGAATGTCCGGTGGGTATTACGCGTTTACACGTCGCGAAGCTGTTCGTCACGCTCATGGCAACGGACAATGAGAAGATTTACGAGACCCTGGTGGAATTAGGAACGTTCCAAACCTTATTGGCAAGTCGACACCCGACCCCATCTTTTCTCCCGTACCTCGATCCTCTTGCTTCCCTTACACAGTCGGCGGCGGCGGCGGCGGCGGCGATCGTTAATTCGCTTCTGTGTGTTTGTAGGATTTATTTTTTAGATACGTGTGGAACAACTTTCTACATACTCAAGTACAATGTTGCCTGGCTTTGGCTGTCAATTGTGATTTCAAAGAAACGAATGACGTTATTTATGATAATGTGAGTATCGGTGAGTGTGCGTCTGCCGAGGCAGGGACGAAAACGCGATTGACCCACGCGGAATCCATCTCTGTTTTCAGGTATTTAACAGATGCAGATTGATAGAAAGAATTCTGGAAGCATGCGATAAGAGTGACGCTGCGACGACGGAGTATGTTCGCTCGACGAGACGAGTATTCATCCCTCGTCACTCCGCGCGTGGTGCTGTCCACGCGACCGTGTAGCGTTGCTTCTAACGCGACTCTTGTGTTTTTAGAAATGAAAAGAACGAGAACCAGCGGCAGGGATACATGGGCCATTTGATAAACATTGCGAATAATATTGTTAATCGACGTGAGAGCAGTGAACGTTTAGATAAATTTTTTAAGGACAATTTGTCACCCGAGTGTCTTAGCAAATGGGATAATTTTGTGGATACAGAATTGGCAAAGATCAACAAGATTCATCGGATTCTCCTGGTACGTCCGGCCCGGCGGCTCGATTTTCGACGCGATCCCCTCTGTCTCTCGCGAGGCACTCTCGTTCTACGTACGAGGTGCCGCGATTCACAATTGGTCCCACTACTGCGACTACTTTTTCAGGGTGGAAAGGCTGAAATTATGACGGGCTCCAGTGACAATCCGGACGAATATAGTTCTTATCCCCCAGAAGATTTTCTTCGGATACAACGAGTCGAACAAGTTAGTAATAGAATAGATTCCTCTCCCACGAGAGTGACTCGATTGGATGACGTCGGTTCGTCGAATCATACGCGTCTGTTTCTGTTTGCAATTTCTAGTTTTACTCCAAATACGTGAGCCAACACATGACGCCGCAGTTCACGCAGAACTTTGGATTTCACGATGAAGAATTCAACGACGGTGACGACGTTCTTCCGTGAGTAATCGTTTCTTTTTCTTCTTCTTCTTCTTCTTCTTCGTCGTCGTCGTCGTCGTCGTCGTCGTCGTTATACGTGATGATGTCGTTCCGCGGAGAAAAAAAAAAAACGCACGCCTTCCACGCGTTGAAACGATCGAGACGAAAGAACGACTGGGAGAATACCATTTCTCCTACGAACAGTGTGACGTGAAATAATATCGTTTGCAATACCCCCTTCTGTCTATAAATGCTATTATAGTACCTCGGTTGACCAATTAACAACGTTGGCCTTTACTCTCAGTGAGGAAGATCTCGACAAGAGCGAAGACATGTTCACTAAGGTACGGTACCGTGCGAGCGATCGCTTCGATTACGCGCGACGCTCGTCTCGTTCGATTTCGAACGAGTCCGACGACGCGAGTCGTTTCTTACGTCTGCTGCTCCGTCTCCGTGCAGATATGTCAGCAAAAGCAGAAGGCGGATTTGGAGGATGGAAACGCGGGAGCGGAATGGGGAGCGGACGAAGGCGAACTTACTTTCCAAACAGTGGTGGACAAACGCGACTGGCCGTCGAAACAGCAGCAGCACCAGCAGCGGCAGCTGCGACAGCAGCAGCAGCAACAGCAGAACGATTCGAATTCGTCCGACGACGAAGAAGACGACGAGACGCTGATGGACGTTCAGTCTTTTCCGAAGCGTACGGTTTCCTCTTTTGCGGACGTCCGCATTCATATATTCGCTTTGTTTCGTTGCCCGTGAACCCGTCTACGCGTTTTACTGCGTACAGTTTTCAAGTGCACGACAACTTGCAAAGTGTTGCCAATGTTTCTCGTTTTCTTCTCTGCTTCTAAATTCGTACGTTCGTTTGGTTTATTTTTTAATGATTTATTAATGGGTTCTAGTTTCTGCCGAGAGATCCTACTTGTTTTCCGGTCTTGCGTCCATCGAGACCGTCGCCGACACCGCCACCGCCACCACCACCAGACATTGGGACGTCGATCCGTGGGACGTTGTGCCGTCCGCGGAATCAGTTGAATCCACCGGTTGGGCTAATTTTGATAATTTCGAAAATACTCTGAACATGGAGAATACTGTGATAATAGATAATAATAAAATATGCGATGAAAGTAAGAAGGAACGAGAGTCGTATACGGAAAGCGTGGTGGACAACGAGACGACGACCACGACGACGGCGACGGTGACCACGACGTCGACCACGACCGATACTGCCGCGTTGGAGAGCGTAAAGATAGCCGCGGTGGAAACCATTGGCGCGGCGGGTGATACGAAGATCGAGGATTCATCGATTGATCGGAGTAACGCTTCGCCGCCGCATGTAGAAACGAATGTGAATCGTTCGACTGAGATCGCCGCCGACGCCGCCGCCGCCGCCACCACCGACGGGAGCAGCTTGTACGGGAGTTATATCGCGGACAAGAATGCGAACCCGAATGAAATTATTGTGGATCACAGCAGGTAAATGAAAAGAAAATCTCTCGAATGTTATCTGTTCATATTTTATATGATACCCTTCCATGTGTATACGCGTGCCGTCGCGTGTTCGTTTGTACGCGTCGCATCTCATGTGTACATATGTTCCCGCTTAGGGAAATCAAGTGCGAAGGGAACAACGTGGAGAAGGTGATGGTGGAATCCACGGAGACTACGGTACAAAGTGAAATTCGGTCGTCGAGCGAATGTGAGAATTCGTTTAGCGGAAAGAGAAACGAGATACCGGAAGCTGCTGCTGCCGCCGCCGCCGCCGCTGAGTTACCGTCGACGTATGCCAAGTGAGGAATTGGTCTGTTTCTGCGTACGGCATTGCAATAGAACGAAAAATGAAAAAAAAAATCATATCAAATATAAATTTGTACGACGAACTGGATCGGAATATATATTACGTCCCTATATTTTCGTTAGATCGCATTAATTGTGCATCGTCGCGTTGGCGCCTGGACACGAACGAGTAACGACTCGCAGCAGGGTATAAATACGGAATGAAAAGTAAAAGACTAAACCGACGCTCAACTACGATTAGTATATATATATTACTTGTTGATGTATATGTACATGTTTTCGGATCGCCAAAGTTTCGATTATAGTCACGTACGTCGTACATGAGATCCAAACGCGCGCGCGCGCGCGCGCGTGTGTGTGTGTGTGTGTGTGTGGGTGTGTGTGGGTGGACGTTGTTACGAAAGACGACAACGGGTCTCTTCGAATTGTTATCGTTCGTATGAAATCGATTGGACATTGTGCGAATCACATCCTTTGCGTCGCGTAGGAGATGGGTCGCGCGCCCTTTATAACGAAATCGACGACCACCAGTTTCGTACGACGTCGCTCGTCTCCTTGTCTCGCAGCAGCTCGCCATGGCTGTGCATCCGCGCTTTACGTGTACGTCGTACGTTTGAATGATACGCGAGGTTCCTCGAGACATCGCCGCTGTTGCTACCGCCGCCGCCGCCGATGATAAACGTACTTCGTAAAGAAAACTGGTGCTTTTGCTTCTTCGTTCGATAAGGCAAAGGTACTTATGTGCAGCAGTGCCTATTGTTTCATTGAGCGATTGCTCGTGCAACGATGCGATATAACCGCGCGTGATCGAGCCGAAAGAAGAAAATTATGTATTTTTATTACGTTGATGATATGATTCGATTCATCCGATGTATACACGATGTAATTGTACTCACCGAACTGTCTCAATAATGAATTTTATTTGATTTGCATTCCAAAACAAAGAGCTGTGTGAAACGATCCGTTCTCTGTAATCATTTTTTAGACAGATCATCTTCCAAGGAAAAGAGTAGCGTTCGATTGAAGAGGTAGCCGATTCGAGCTGGTGTACACTTTGATCGATGTGTACATAACTTCTTTTTTCGTAATGAATACGCTGTGACTCGTTAGTTATTTGATTCGATCAACGATTTTGGTACAATGATATGTTTATAGTATCGTACATGAAACATTGTACGCATGAGTAATAAATATAAGCAGTGTTCACGATCAAAAACCAAGGAGGTCTGTTACTATTGTTCGTTTCCGTTATTTTCTGCGACGAATGCCGGTTGACTGTCCTACAGATAGATGGGGTGTGATGGTGGAGAAAGAAAGACCGGAACGTCATCGAAACCGGAACACGGAGGTGGATGCGAACGTGTAAGAAATTTTAACTTGGTTCGTTGACTCGTTCAAGTTCTATTGACGACTTTCTTCATCGTACGAGAAACTTGTTGCTGCGGTTGACCGGCACCGCTACCGCCACCACTGCCGCCGCCAACGACGACGATTGGTCTGGCCTATCGTCGAGGTGGTAGGAGTACGACGAAATGAATGAATCGGTGTCATCGGTAGTAAAATATAATCGTTTAATCTCTTCGTATAAATTTTCAAAGTGTATCTGGTAAAGACTACGAATTAAAATATTTTGAATATTAAATTTTGCGTAGGTACTTTTGTTTATACAATCACGAACATTCCTGATCGTGATCGATAGTGAAAATGTATTTGTACTCGCGTACATCTAAATCCCGCTAAAAACTTGTAAATATTTTTGCCCCATCTGGTCTGCTGGTCTTTCCTGTGTGTATACGGTGTATAGTTTCTCCTGTCGCAAAAAGAGAACTTTACGTGACGACGCGATAAATTGCATGTTATGGGCACTGTGCAACGTTCGCGACTTTTCAACGAAAGGCGACGAAAGGCGACGTTCTCTCGCGTAAAGCTCAAAATACTCGCAGAGCGCTACACCGAGTTTACGATATTTTGATTCACCGCCGCCGCGTTTACCTATTTCACTATTTTACTATTTTACGCGATATTGAACGTCTGTCCACTGCCTTTAGCATCGTGGCGAAAAAGATTGTATTAACGAGTAGCAACAATGGCAGTGACCACAGCAACCATTATCGCGCGAACCCACTCTGAGACCCGTGTTAACTTTACTTGGACGGATGGATCGCTTCTCCGTATATACGAAATCCGTATCACGAAATTTCGCGCGCCCGCGCGTATAAATCTATGAATGAACCAAGATCCCAATGATCTAGCCGCGTGGTGTCTGTATTACGTACTCGAACTGCCTCGGAACACGATCGACGTTAAATTCGGTAAAGGACCGTCTCCGGTCTAGCACGCGACACCGTGCAGTGCTGAATTCCAGTTCAATGAGTTTGTTTCACTTCTAACAATTGAGGATAGTTTTCGACTATGTTCAACAAGATTCCATCTATGTACGTTCTTAGCTGCGCGTTCACCTCTTGTTGTTCCTTTAACGCTTGTCTCATCTGAAACACACGAAACGACGATGATGATAATGAACAACACGATGATTCAACGTGATAAACGTCGCTGAAATTTCTGATTTGACGTACTTCGGATACTGACGTACTACAGGGTGGTTCACCGTGTTCTCCGAGAAATTGTCCCCCCATCTGCAGCATAAATCGAGACGATTCGTAACAACGCTAATGACAACGCGAGATGCACGAAATTACAATATTCGTAGGTAGAAATTTATTGTAAACTTTAACGTACTTGATGATGATCTTCTTGATTCATGCCAGCTAGCAATTCTACAGCGAGACTTGGCCCTTTCTCGGCGGTATTGTTGTTACAGGGATTCAGCAGCAAGAGTTCACGGCCTGCCTGCAGAGCCGCCGCAGCTTGCAATTCATCTCGCGATTCCTCCAGACCTTGTGCGTGTGAATCATGTCGCAATGTTGAAAATGACAACGGTCTAATATCTATTTGTTGTTGTTGTATTGTTTCAAGAAATACTTAATGCGAACGTAGACGTACTTTTATTGCGTGTCTTTAGTTCTTCCACCTGTTGCATCAGCTCCTCCTCCATCCTCTGATGATCCCCGATTCTGACGGAGAGTTCCTGCCTGGCAGCTTCTACCTGATACTGAGCTTCGTTCGCACGGCTTATGGCCTGACGTTCGCTCTCTCGCGCGCTGTCAGATTCCCTTCTAGCCTCTTCCAGATCCGTTTCCAGTCGACTTTTCTCCGCTTTAACTTTTTCGAGTTGTTCGCGTAACCTTCCTATTTCTTCTCTTAAATTAGTACCCTCCGACTCTATCGCTTGCAATTTGATCGCATAGTTTTCTAATTGCAACTGTCGTTCGCGTTCCAAACGACTTGCCCAGTCTCTGTATCTCCGTTGTTCCGCCTGATTAGTGAACGAATCGCGTTAACAACGAAGCGAATGATAAAAATGAGTAACGATTCGTTCCGCCGCCGCTGCTGCTGCTGCTGCTGCTACTGGATAGACGAGTAGTTAGTTACCTGTAGCCTTTCCTCGGCTCTGGTCTCGGCGTCTTTGGCAGCTTCCTCCAACATTAATATCCTTGCTTGAAGCATAGCATTTTCCTGTTTCGCTCTGGCGTAACGCTCTTCTCCGACCGATTGAGTGTCTACCAAAGCATCCATCTGTTCTTGTATCATCTGCACCTGAAAAAATATTGAGGTGAAGACCACCATTACCACCACGTATGGCATATTAAATATGGAATAAGAAAACGCTTCTCGCGAAACACGCGAGAGAACAGAAAAGGTATCGGCGCGGCGCGGTAATAAAGCGACGGGTAGTTCTCGCTTAAAAGTACGCGGGTGTACGCTGCAGCAGACTTCTTGAGATACTGCAGCGATTAGACTGTCGACCCTGAGAGCCGAATCATTTTATTCGTACGTGTTAGATGATCGAGATCGCAGTTTCCGATAGTCTCACGTCTTCAATTTTCGACGGGTAATTCGGCGTCTATAAGTAGCTCCTGCACTGGTAGCATATGTATAACGAGTGTACAGCTGTACGTCTACAGAATACCCTACGCGCATTTAAATACATGTTCAATACGAGTTTCCAAGTTTAATTTCGAATAAAATAATCGACCGCGGTTCAATGACTGGTCTCGTCTATTCATTACGATATAGTTGAGTGAAACGGCGCATTTGTTGGCTCCTACTATATCGAATTCCACTTCAGTGTCCGACTACTTTGAGTGACTACGTCGTAGTATTCTATCGTCGTCGTCGTCGTCGTCGAGTAAGTACGGAGAAAATGTCACGTTTTCTATCGCGACAGCGTTCGCGATTCATCTTTTTCTCTGACTGATGGTCGTATCTCGTCCCCGTCGATCCATTACAGTACAGGATGGATTTTAATACCTTGGATTATTGCGCAATAATAAATAAGTTTTTACTACCCACCACACTACCGCCGACTGCTACTACCACCACTACTACTGCTTTACTGTTCGAATGTAGTTTCTCATCTGTTGGAGAGAATTTCATTCATACGCGAGCCTAGTTGACCTAGTATTCCGGGGATCTGATTGTGTGATCTGTTGTTCCCCGCCGAATGACTGAGACTGTGGATGGCCTTACTTGCTCGGTTAGTCGAGGACCGCGACGATGACGGGACAGTGGTGGACCGCGGGAAGACGGCTGTCCGACGAATTGGAACTGGCCCTCCCACAAGTCGTATTCGAGGCCGGCACCAGGCCCAGGAGACGGCCCCTCCCCGGCGGAAGTCATGATACGATTGTCATAACGTTCGATCGCACCTTCTGTGTCCGTCTCGTCATCGTCGTCATAACTGTTCGAATCCATTATGATTCGTCGTGTTATCTCTCTCTCTCTGTCTCTCACGTCACGCCTGTGTCGGGTAGACTCGTCGTCATCATCCTCTTTTACACTACTCCGCCGTCCGCCGACGATTCGATACAGAAGATTTCGATTCCGTTAGAACGACGACGTGCTGCCTGCTGCACGTCGTCGCCGGTCCCCCCTCCTCCGCTCTACAACGACACTCCGAACCTAACCTCGTAAGCTCGCCGCACCTGGGGAACCTAGTGGAAGTAGTAGTCCTCGAAGAATGAACGCGCAAGGATGATTTCGTAAGATGCACGGAAAGACCAACGACACTACGCGACGCACATCCTCGCGACTCCTCGATCGTACTTGGAATATAATCGTTCGCCTGAATCGCCCACTGTACACTGGCATTAGCCAAGAGGCTATTTGTGCACTCCATACTACGTATCGACTAACTTCTCAGTCGCTTGAATCGCGCGCATACGCACGCACGCACACACACACAAGCGGTCCAACATCGTGCGTGCGTGCGTACGTGCCGTCACATTAAGTATACATCGAACGTCGCGAACGGAGTTTCAGCGACCCTGCCCATGCATTCTTTACGAATCTAATTGCAGTCTAATTTCTGGAAATAATTTATCAAAAATGCTGCGACGTATTAAAAAATTACGTGCGACCATTTCTATTGCGACTGCGGAATGAAAGCAAAATTCTAATCGGAGAACTAGATTAACTTTCCAGAAATGATTTTACGCCCCCTGATTATCTTACGCAAAGCAGCATGCTTTCACCAGATGATATCCTCCTCTTCGGGAAATAAATTGAAAATTCGTGAATTGAACGTTGCACAGGATGACTTTACATAGAAAGATCTTTCTGTTTATTTGTGAACGCGCGCCTGTTATGTAAAGATAATAAGTTTAGTAAAGCTTATGCAAATGGGATTGAGGGAGATACCTAAATAATACGAGGTCAATGAAACGCTTCGCATGATACCTTTATTCGGAGAAACTGCTGCTGCTGCCGCCGCCGCCGCCGCCGCCGCCGCCGCCACCGCACATTTTCTTATAAACGCGCAATCCGAGATAACCGATTACAAACAGAACGATAAAGAAGTTAAGAAAAGGCCAACCTCTCCAACTTATAATTCCTCCAGACCTTAATTTACATGTCATACTCCTATGTATTAAACGCGCGCGGGCGCGCGCGCACGCGATTCCCGTAAAACTTTGTTCGATTTCGATCGCGATTTCTTATCTTTGTAAACGCGTAAAGAATTTTGTTCGGGACTATTTACATTTTATCCTCGATCGTGTTTTTGCAATGTACGCTTGCAATTGTTCGTCGTCGAGTTCTAACTTCATGATTTTCCATTTTTCATTTCTCACCTCGCGTAGAACGTGCGAAAAACGTATAATTTTTCGTAGAGAGTTTATTTTTGCTATAAAATTTTTAAATACGTTACAGCATTCAAGAAGGACACGTCGGATGGAAACGTTTTATAGTAACATTTTATTCAACGAATCGATGGATTCTTATCGTTTCATCGGCCGCGGTGATTTGCACTTTTCTGAACGTACTATTCGTCCTCGTCCTCGTCCTCCTGGACCAAAGTACGCACCACGTTAAATCTGTGTAATCTTGATTAAACAGGTAGACCGCTTCGCTACAATGGAGTGCGATCCTATACACATACAAAATATGTGATGCGTACACACTGAACGAAACGCGTCTCTTTGTTAAAGTGCCTGATTACCTGGTTCCAACGCCTGGATCAGTTTACTCGCTCGTGACCGTACGCGTTTCTTCGAGTTCGAGTTACCGCAATGATTAGCAACGCCATTGACTTGTAAACGGTGTGTGAAACGCGAAAGGAAAGTTACCAAGCTCGTTTAATTGCTGTTCGTGTTCATGACGCTACCGATCGTGTGATATCGTTCACAAAAGTATCAGATATATCGGTGGCGACGTTAACTTTGTTTTCCAACCGGTTGTATTCTATGACACCTTCGTTTCTACTCGCGTCGCGTTCGCAAACCGAGTAATTAGTTGCACGTTTCGTCGGCCACGTGCCATCCGACACAGGATGACAATCCTCGCATGCATCGCACAGAACATTATAATCTCTATCGTTCGGATCGGTTAGATCGGAGTATAGAACGTATTGGGCGGCGAGATAATTTTCTTTCCGCTCCTTTTTTCTCTTCGCGGTTGCGGCGGCGGCGGCGGCGGCGACGGCGGCGGCAGTAGTCTACAGGTGGTCAGAAAGGTCATCGGTTCAGTTTTGGTTATTTTTTAAGAGACCCTGTCCCGATTATGATCCTGGACATGGGAAGCGTTATCGTACACTGTATATTTACTCGTTTGAAATACGCGCGCGCGTTCGTTCTTATTGATTCATTCATCCCTAGACTGCCGATTTTTATGCAAGATATAAACGTTACGTTCTTTTTCCGGACGCTGGAAATGCATTAAATCTGCAGTCTGGAAGTGACGAACGAAATGAACTTCTTCCAACGTCGTCGTGTCTCGTCTATTGCTATTCACTGTTCTACAACGACGACGAGCCACGACGATTACGCGTTCGCGACGACCGGAACACGCAACCGGGCTGGGAAAGAAAGCCAGATTTACCTGTAATGCTGCTGGTTGGATCAAAGTGGGTAACCTGGCGTCGTGTAATCTTCGCTGGGTATCGCGAGATAGGGACCGATAGAAGATAAAGCTAACGATGAACAGCAACAGAAAGAAGAACAGTACAATGCCGAACCATGAAGAGCCACCGTTGCCAACGCCTTTCGGCTCCTGGACGTCGTTGCAATAAGGAGTGTAATATCCGCCCGGAGGATGGTACGGGTAAGGGCCGTATGGGTTCAAATAAGGCGGTGGTGGTGGATAATAGGGTATGTAGGGTGGATGCGGCGGCTGCTGATGACGGAATCTATCGTCTGTCGGATTTTCACTACTGGTAGGGGATGATCTTGCTCGGGGCGGTGATTGACAGGGTGAATTGCGAGCGCACATCTAAAGATCTCGACGCTGTTTATACATTTTACGAGGTGGTCATCGACTGTACTCTCGCCAAATACGAGAGTAATAATTTTGCATAGGGTTAAACGTGATGATGTCTCGGAAGTAAATTTGGTCACGACGACGACGACGACGATATAAGATCTTTATATCGATATTAATTGAGTCGAAAACTTCAGGTATCTCGAGTGGCCACATGAAAACAATGACGGTTGACAACATGAATCGTACGCTTCGGTCTGTCTGTCTCTACTTCATCTCTATTGCGTACAGTGTCGGATCGTCGATCTTGTGTTACGCGTTCATAGTTGTGTAATGAGAAGAGTACTCACTTTGTGATTTAGACCGATGATGACATCATCCTCGAGGGAGACATCGCTGTACATATCGTCCGCGGGATCACAGTTGGAACCTCTACCAGAGCTGTTGAAACTGCCGCTTCGATAAAGCTGACTGCAACGAACGAGAATAATGTACAACAAGCTATAGCAGCTACTAGTAATCGCAGTAGCAACAACAGCAGCAGCAGCAGCAGCAGCAGCAGCAGCAGCAGCAACAGCAGCAATCTGTAGAAATCATCTACTATCCTCGACGATAGGGAGAGTATATATACATATACTTTTCAGAAACGAAATAATTCAAAAATGAGACAAACGGGAAGATACTAGTAGGTAGTAATTAATATCTGCGCAAGGAGAATAATTCTAGTAGTATAGATTTGTGGGAGCATAAAAGGAAATGGAAGCGCAGATAGTGCCCACGCTTTAGAAAGTCCACCACCGCCGCTGCCGCCGCCGCCGCCGCCGCCGCCGTTGTTGTTTCACGAAATGACTCAAAGATTATCGTTGAACGTCGCTCGCGCGGATACCGTTCTTTATGGTTCGCTTTCGAAACGTAGATTCCTCGCTGCTGACAGTGTGTGAGTTACATCGTTTCTATTGTTATACCATGATGTCATTTCTCGGAGTTCGAAGAAAATACATTTTGGGTACTTTTCCACGCGTTTACCAGGCTCAATGATATAATAGGCGGTAATACGTTGTTAATTTAAACACGTCGTAATTGTCGAACGAAAACAACTTTGTGTAACATCGTACAGTTGTTGTTAGGAAGAGTTGGTAAGTTATCTTACATACCTTGCTAAAGCATTGGAACTAAGCCTCTTTCTTCCAGAGCTGTAACAGACGAAAACGTTAACGTGACCGTGTATATGTATATCCGAAGATGTTGTAATTTTGTGACTGCTGTTCTCTTCTACTTGTTGTTAGTTTTAATCGATTCACATGCGCGCGCGCGCGTATCACCCTCTAGAACGTAGTTCGAATCAGCATTTCGTTCGCCAACATCCCGACGACAATCGGCCAAATCGCAATTTCTATAAATGAACCAAATAGATAGTCGACGGCGAAAATAGACCAAGGTCGAAATTCGATTCGACCAGCAGAGCCAAGAAAGACACTGCTGCTGTACATACTGCGTCTGCTGCTGCTGCGTAAAATTGTCATAGAAAATGTTGTCGATGGACGTTCATTGTGAATGGATGACCGTGTGCACTATTTAATATTTTCTCTTGTTCAACACCTCCACTACTGCTACGATTTTTGCCCGCTTCTCCCACGCTCCGTATACACGCGTACACGAAGAAATTTTAATTAACTTCTCGCCGATAAGCCGCGGGCATTTCTTCGGGAACGAGTTTCTTATCCGCCTCCGCGTCCTCCTCGGTCTATACGACTAACACGACTAAAGACGTCCGTAATTTATCAGACGGTGTTACAGAAGCAACTTTTTCGCATACGACATCGTCATTGTCCTCGGTGAGGTGAAAAGAAATTCTCTCATGCTGCTGAAATAAAATATATGTCCGCCGCCGGTGGCACGTGGTGAACTTCGGTTTTTGCACGCTGCCGCCGCCGTTGCCGCCGCCGTTGCCGCCGCGCAGCTTCCGTTCCAGACGGAACACTGCTTGCCACGAACAGTGTTTAATATCATATTTAATTATTAATTGTTCGATCGGTCCGCGCGGTTCGAATAAACTCGCGGCTACCCGCGCGAGTTATAGAAAAAAAGATGATGTTCCACGCAATTAGTAAAAAGTGCTTACCAGGGAGGTGTTCGCCTGAGTGACGTTCGCAGCCAAGAATGTCTTCCTATGGTTGAATTCGGACTTCTTGGATTTCTATTTGAGACGATAACGAAAACATTTACAATTCCATTGTTCAATTCTAAAATCTTATTTTCAAGTATAATCGATGATTGAACAAAATAAAATTAGTTTCTAATTGAATTCGAATTCGATTTGGATACGGATACGGATGAGTACGAGATACGACCGCGAAATGCCATGTGATCGTTGAGTGTCTGTTGCATGCGTTTAATGCCGTTCAGGTAGGCAGGCACAATCGGGGAACGAAAAAATGTATGTACTGTATGCAACAGTTTGTAAACGACCAAATGGTGGTTATTAAATGAATTCCGAAAAACGCGAACATGCGAGCTGCACGGTTTTAGTTTTTCTTTCCACGCGAAAACGTTTCTTGGACGCATCGTATCGATCTAGCCAAGCATATTATATATATATATATATATATATATATACATTTAAGCGTGCAGGAAACAGATCCGTTCGAATGATACTCGCGTACAAATCGTATACATAAATTCTCAGAATACTGAGTACCGCCAATCTTGTAAAAACAATACGTACTGCAAGGCACCGAAAGATAAATGACAAAAGGAGATGACACCGAATAATGTCACGAACCGACAATTCCGAACACCCACTTATTAACGTCGAACATATCTCGCGAATCTGAACAAAAATACAAACTTGTCGCTATAGGAAATAAAAATAGTAATTTATTCACGCACGTGCGTCGCTCAACGATCAAGACACCAGTGTGTATATATACTATATACGGATCGCCGACTGGAAACTGAACGATCTGTTTGTGTGTGTAATTGAAAAATGTTTGCGCGCTAAATCACGGCAACGCTACTTCTCGTTTCAAACTACTGCCGCCACTGCCGCCGCCGCCGCCGCCGCCGTCGTAGTACCATCGATATCATCGTCGCCGCAGCAGCAGTTACAGGGAAACAGGGAAAACTGGATCAATATGCAGATGTATGTATGTGTGTGTGTGTGTGTGTGTGTGAAGATATATAGAGATATAGAAAAACCGGAGCAACGAACTTACTTGAGGAGGAGGGAATTGGTGCCGGTAGGCGAGGGTGCGGAGCTACTACCACCCGGCGGCGAGTCCATCCCGTCGTCGGCATCACCTTCGACGGAACCGAACGCCTCGTAGCTCTCTTCCTCGTCGTTCTTCACGCAGCAGGGCTTCTCGCCGCAAACACCATCGATGCGTTCGGGACTAGCCGAGAAATGTCCAGAGTCTTGAAGATTCGGGTTGAGATCTACCACCGACGGCGGTGGCGGCGGCGGCGGCGATTCCGCCGCCGACATAGAAAACGAGGGCGGACCACTTCGGCTCCATTCGTCCACGACACCGGGTGCACCGTTCACGCGGCCGTCACCCTCGTTATGCGATTGGCGAGCACCCGGTAAGATGGCATCACCATCACGAGCTACAACGTCACTGTCGGACACGACGACATGCGATGTAGCCACGTTGTTAGGTGAGACATTTACACAACCCGTACTGGAGCTTACCGCCATCCTTCGTTATCCAGATTGGCTGCTCGGCGGAACCGACTGAACCAACAAATATCCGACGAGCTCCTTTGACCGTCCCGCTGCTGCAACTGGAGTCGACGTCGTCGTCGTCGTCGTCGTCGTCGTTATTGTCGTCGTCTTTCTGAAACAAAACCCGAACACTGACATTTTCCAGGGCGAATAAAATATTGACGACGACGACGACGACGACGACAACGACCACAACGATATCGGTTTCGAACGGCGAATCGAACTTTTCGAAAACTTTTTAACATCGCACTCATCGTACTTCGTATGCACTGTTTACCTGGTACGATACCACATAGTACAAAAGCAATGATCTATTACTATGACAGTCGGCAACGACGGAGGGTCTATGAGTCAGACGAGTCGTAAAAGAGAAAGAGAAAATAAAAGGACACGTCCCTGGAATGTAACACGATCTCCGTTTTATCTCCTTTAGCATTCTTGACCGGTGAAGCTGACGGCAACGTACCGCCGTCGCCGTCGCCGCCGCCGAGAAACAGAGACAGGAAGATTTTGTAACGTTCACGATCTACGTACATACCTACGTACATGTATATGTACGTGAATGTAATTCTATGAATATGCAACATCACGCGGCTCTGACTCTAAGAAAAGCGTGAGAACCAGGAGAACACTGGTCATGATATATCGCTGACTCAAACTCGGACGCGATATGAGCCAAGTCCAAGGTGCTAAACATGTAGTTTGTCATGGTACATCTGCGGTTTTCAAGGCGAAGGCACACCGTTTGTAGAAGATAGAGGGTAGATCATCTACATTTTATCACGCATCGGAAAGATTTCATATTTATATGCATATAAAACGCGACGCCAACGCACAGTTATTGGCTGATTTCGATCTAGCTAGATTCAATTACTATAGGCTACACCACGCTTCGAATACGATCGATCGATTTTCATATTCGCGTTGATCACGCAACCGTGTATCGAGCAAAGCGAGCGAAGCCAAACCAATTAATATGACGACGACGACGACGACGACGACGACGACGACGACGAGCAACAAGTCAAATCTCGCAGCTCCGTTTTAAATATTTTCTTTAATACATATACACATTTAACTTACAATTATGACACGCTTTGTAATTTCGTTATTAACGAGAGAGAAAGATTAGACCGCTGCAATGCCCTCTCCCCTCTCGCGTACATATATGTCTTGATGTCTCACATCGAATAGATCGATTACCGTTTAATTCTCCTCGTGTTAATTGACACACATGTGCCGACGACGACGACGACGACGACGACGACGACGACTCATGATCGTTGTTCTCGACTTCGACTCGGTTCCATGCGATTATATCAGCAATGAAATGACTAGACGACAATAGTCAGTAATTATACAGTATGACACTGTGCTACTGTCACACTGTCACCTAGTCAGATAAAACACATTCAGATCTATAGCGATAATTTTATGATACATAGATCAATTTGATTTGCAAGCGTTCGTTTCTATCATAATTTTTATTTATTTTTGCCACCACACGTAAACGACGACGCATGGACTCGCCACGGCGAACACCAAGAACTTTATTAGCATCAATACGAGAATCATCTACGGCGCGCAGGATGACCGGCCTGGTACTTCCCCGGGTATAACTAGGGATTCTTAAATAAGGGATCGGACGAAGCGCTGCAGAGATCGGTCACCGGTGGGATACTTCTGATTTAAACTATACAGTTTAAACAGTTCAAGCTACATTTTTATGTTCATGGTTAAAGGATATGCGTCAGGTGTAGTGAAGAACTCATAACTTGAATTCTTAATATTAATTGTGTTTAGTAAGTGTATTATACACATAAATAAATTGATCAGTGTCTCCTTTTCATTAGTTTGATTTATATTGAATATTGTTCAATTTGTAAAGATAACGTTTTACAATTACAATAATTAACAAATTTCAGTTTGAAAAGCTGATATTCTGAAAATAGTAAACATTTTAAGACAGGTTCATCGGTACATTTAAGTCAGCATTAATTTTTTATAAAAAATCGTGACTTTTTATTTACGTATAATTGTATACTATAAAATATTCGGTATATAACTTTCGTTCAATTCGCAAGCTGAACTTGAACCTTTTAAGATGAACCTCCGTTTATCCCCGACATGGCAGCAACGGCGGCGCATTGTCTGATCCCTTGTTTAAGGATCCCCGGGTATAACTTGTCTCACTCGAAACGGAATGCGTAAATGCGTGATTTCGAATTGACTGGTGGGAGATAGTATTCCACCAGTGTCGCTATTTATGTGGAGCAAGCTCGAAAGTGTATTAGACTGTAGCAGAACGACGGCGAACAACACGCGAATACTATTACACTGAACGTTCGGCGACAGCGTGTAATACGTTTAACCTTAATTATTATATGATACACCGCAATATCGTTTAGCTTTGTTATTACACGGAGTCGATATATTAAAGTAATGCACGCACTTACAACGAGCTACGTCTTAATTCAGAGATACGACCGCGTCAAGTATTCGATGCGACTTTGAAACTGAAACACACCGCTCTTCTCAACGATTATTACGTATTTGCTCCTTGAACTCGTTGAAACTACAAATGATCGAATTTCAAGTTCAGTCCTGGTCGCATCAAATATGATGCGATTACATCTAAGCGACGCACGAAACCAGTTTTCATAGTCTTTATAATCTGATCAAAGGAGGTATAGCGCGCGCGCGCGCGCGAGTGACATCGCAGGCAACGTGCCCCACGTTACTACTACCTATTATTGTTATTGTTATTAATTCGTCTCTGCTGTAAGTAAATAGGTAGGTTGTTTTAGGAACGAAAGTTTCGTGAAAAGAAAGAGAGACGTCCGCTGCATCGTGCACTGTGTGACTCACCTTGAACCGAACGACAGCGAGTCAGCGAAAGAAATGCAGCAGCAGGGGAATTAATGTTCACCGATGCGCGAGACAAAACTTGGAGCGATTCGGTTGCGATCGAGTGAATGGATTAATTAACGGGACAAACGACGTGCGCGCGTATAGAAACGATAAAGGAACGATCGAGAAACCCGACACGCAGATACACTTTTCTAACGATAACTTGTCAACCACGGTGAAACACCTTCGGTATACACATCGCGCGAGTTACGATCAGGTAGTAGACGCGCACAAAAACCGTCACAGGTACAGGCAGCAGCGGCGAGTGCCCTTTTGTGCTTGCACACAGGTAGGTTCGCCGGAGGCCAACTGTTGGCCTCGCTCGGCAACGACGGAACCGCGATGAATTCGTAGACTGCCTCCTCGTGGCAATGGCAGATGAACTGAGAACCGAACAACAGCGGAACCGAGTTGACGAACGATCGAACGAGAGTACGACTGAAACGTAACGCGAAAACGAACGAAACGATCGTGCACTGATCACCGTGGAGAGGATCCATGCCAGGTGGTACGCATGCGCATCAGAACAGGAATGTTCGTGCATACACGAATACGTTTTACTATTGCACCCATACATAAAGGGATTTAGGTATACGTACATACGGCGGCCACATCGCGCTAAACATCACGGTCGTACCCGCTGCAGGTACGAGAAAGCGCCAGTGTCTCTCAACTTACGCGAGTGGGAATTTGAAGCTTTGTCAACTTCTAACCTGCATAAATAATATCTAGGAATAAAAAATTCGATTCGCGCGCCATCGCCACATAGTATACAGTCATATTTATCTGTTAATATCTCTGTTAAAAAAACTATTTGTGTCTCTGAATACGTGTTTTTACGAGCCGCTTTCCGAATTTTTCTTGTAAACCTCCTTATAAACCAGTTCCTGCATTTGCATCCGCAGCAACATTCTTCTGTCGGCAGGTAACGTTCTTATATGAGGTAAAAGACTCATGAGGAAGTAATAATTATCGTCGAAACGGTTTCCTTCGAGAGGATCGATCGGGATCCCAATGTTCCCGCCACCACCGCCGCCGCCGCCGCCAACGCCACCACCACCGCTGCCGTCACTGTCGCCCATAAGAACCTGTTCCGGCGAAATGTTCTGCAGCATCATTTCGTTCTCAGTGAGGTTGTCGGAGACGTTTTGAAACTCGAGATTGTCGAAACTCTCTTCGGCGGGTTCTTGCTTCACGTCTATCTGGTGATGATTGACAGCGTCGATCTTCAATCCGTTGCTGTCATTGCCAATCGACAAGAGATGATTCGCGATCAAGTTTCGATCGTCGATGTTCCTGCTGGTCGATCCGTTCGCGTTCAAGGTACCGCCGTCGCCCTCGCTTTCGCTCGGTATACGATCGTCGTCTTGGCAGCAGGAGTTGCTTCGTTCCCAAATAGGAGGACGAGGTAACATTTGTTCTTTTAAGAACTGTAAACTTTTGAAGTGTATCCATACCGGTCTGTTCCGGTGAAATTTGCTTTTACGGTAAACCTGGTCCTTCTTTAACTCTGCCCGAAAAGTATCTCGCAAACCTTTCCACTTCGCTTTTAATACCGGCTCTGGAAAACGTAGAAACGGTGGATCTTTATTCGCTGTCGTCGAAATCGTGTTTCTACGCGCGTATCGCAATGTGCTTCATTATGCGCTGATTTTACATGAAAGTTATTAGCTTTCAGCGACGAATGGATCAGGAAGTCAGAATTTATAACCGCGGTGCATATATCAGCGATAATAAAAACACTTTATTGACTCTGTGTGCACGCATGCGTTTTTACCACCGCCGCCGCCGCAGCCGCCGCCGCCACGCCGCCACCGCCGCCGTCACAGAATAACAACAGGCTTGCGCCGCCACACAGTGAAATTTAAATTTTCCTCCGTGTGTGTCACGACGATACGGTAAAAAATAGCAAGGAATAATTGTGAGTCGTTCATTTACTTAAAGTATGATTTTACGATGAATTAGGAAAATAAAATCCGATTTCGAATCGAGAATCTGTCTGAAAAGAGTGAGGTTAATCGAGACAATGCTATTCGTACATACGAGCGAGTAGGTATAGCGTCAGTGTATATATGCATGTACAAAGCTACGTACGTAAATGCGTACACACGTGACGTACACATAGACATACATTAGACAATGAACGGAGACGACGATAGAAAAATTTCTTGTTGCATTGAAGCGCGTATGTACGAGCAATTACGGTGTAAACATTTTGTCTACGCACAGAGAAACTGTGTACATGCTGTGTTACACTATTTTACAATTGAAATTATTGTAAATAGTACTTGTACAATGAACACGACGTATTGCTGAAGACGTGAGATATCATTTGTTGCTTGAACACGTGATTTAATCGCGCGAGCTATTAAACAGAAATATTGTTCGAGTGCCGACGTACCACCTACATACACAGAGGAAAGGAATCCCGAAAATGCGCGCGCGAGAATAACTCGGTTTGCCGCGGACAAATTAGATTCCATCCACCTACTAGGTAGCTTGAATATTGACGCGATTTCCATCCAAACGCGGTTCGTCACTTCGCGATTGTGATAAGAGATATGCCTTTGATTCCAAAGCGCTGGCCGTTTGTAAACTTCAGCGATTAGCCGATTCGCGTCCATCTTCACCTCGTCCCCCCTCATGCTAACCGGTCGGTCGGATCCCCGGAGGATCGCAGAAGGATAATTTTCTTGACGACTTTTCCGAAATAATACGCGAACAACACAAATGTATCGCGTGCGCTGGGGGCTAGTCAATCCGATAGGAACAAAGTACGGGCGAATACTAGCGCTGGGATAGCGATTAGCGCGCAGGACGCAGCTCTCGGGGTAACGATCGATTCGCGTTTCGCCCTCATCTTGCCCTTGCTAGCGCGAATAACTTTGTCTTTCCCTCCTACCCTACCCGTTGCGTCGCGTACACTACCTACACTACTTTGTTTTGTCGGTTTAAACATTTTTTCATTCCACTCCGTGCTTCGTCGTTTCGACGACGACACACGAAACTTTATACGCGACCGCAATAATTACAAGCGTGTAGAATGGATTAGATTTGAAAGCGACTCGCTCGTCAGTTATTTGGTCTATAATTGTTTAAAGAGTAGTCGACCACGTTATAGTTCAAATACAGCTCAATTCCTGTTTTTCAACTGCGCATATTTCAGATTTTAAACGATATGACGACGACGACGACGACGACGAATGCTTTCGAATTGATAGCGCAAGGCGCCGAAGCACGCGTGTACAAAGGTATTTACTTGGGACGATCGACCTTGATGAAAGAAAGATTCGAAAAGAAATACAGACACACGGATTTAGATAATCGCCTGACGAAAGATCGGATAAAGGCCGAATGTCGCGCGATACTTCGCGCTAAAGCTGCAGGTAAAATGGGGGCGAATCGCATTTCGCCGTATCCGATAAACCAGACGACGAAACATACTTGCTTCCCGACTTCTTCTCTCTTTCAAGGAGTTACCACGCCGGCTGTTTATTTAGCAAATTTTCAACGACGTTGTATTTACATGGAGTATATAGAAAATGCAGTGTTACTGAAAGAATTTATCGAAAAGAACGTTTCGAAGTCAGGAACCGACGTACTAGCTGATTCTTCCACGCTTCTGCTGAATGTAATTGCCGACGCACTCGGCACGATAATCGCCAAGTTGCATTCGAAAAATATAATTCACGGTGATTTGACTACGTCTAACATACTTTTGAAGAACGTTAACGAACACCACTCTACTGACACTGGGAACTATGACGATGGTATGACGATACGTTTGCAGCATACGTTTTCCACACCAATGTTCGATTCGATTCGATTCGATTCCGTCTGTTCTCGAGTTATTTACTATTTTTATTTGTAGTTACTACGAGTAATTTCGTCGTGATAGACTTTGGATTAGCTCGTATTGAATCGAGCGTAGAAGATAAAGCTGTGGACTTGTACGTTCTCGAACGATCATTGTCGAGTGCACATTCGGAGGTGCCTCTTTTGTTTTCGAAGATATTCGATACCTATCAGAAATGTTACACGAATAGAAATCAGTGTAAAGAGATCGTTACAAAGTACAAGGAGGTGCAATCACGGGGGCGGAAACGACTAATGATTGGTTAGAGCTCATCGCCGTGCTTCTTTTCTTCTTATCAATACATTCAAACAGATTTTATTGACCCGGTCGTATCTTTAATTATTTACGACGTACACGTTGAATAAATATAAATGATCCTCTTGGACGTGAGTAATAGTTGACGACTAACATCGACAACATCAATCGAATATTAGGCTTGGTAAGAGCAATTAAAAATTCACAAAGCAATGCAAAAAGAGTTTTATAAAAATTTCGCACAAATGATACTTCTCTGTATTGAGCCTGTGTTTCAATATTGACCAAAGGATGCCTGTTCCTTGTTCTCTCGTGTCCTTCCCAGGCATACGATCTTACAGTACTCATTCCTATCTATACGACGACGACGACGACGACAATGACGTGTCGTTCGTCCGTACCGATCAAAGGAAAAATCATTTGAAGCGAACTAATTATTATTACTTTTGTTGTTGTCGCTGTTTTTGAGCAAAGAGAAGACATTTCGTTTTTCAGTAGACAAATATTCTTTTTATGTAATAGCGGTTTAATTACGTACAAGTGAATTATAACAAATTCTGCTCGGTATGTTCGTCGAATGCATTTTGCGTGGTGGGTACAAAACGTGTCGTCGTTTCGCAGACTAACACGTGAATCGTTCTCTGCTGCGAAAATGTTTGAGATAACGTTTTCGTGACGAGTATTAGCATGTGTGGTTCATGCGATCGATTTTCAATGGTCAACAGTCCCCCGCTGTTGCCCGCCGTAATAATTATTATTTGAGATATACAGAACCGCAGATAAGGGATCAATCGAAATGCAGCCCCGAGTATATGATGATCCAAGTTACCTAAATGCCGTAATGATTAATTATTGTAAATTGGAAATATGGTTCGAAAATTATATTACCAAGAAACCAGCAAAAGATGTCATGAAACCTTCCTTGGTTAATTCCCATACACCACCAAATTCTTCCTCGTCAATTTGTTGAAAATTACTGAAATACAGGTATGTAACACCCGCGTTAACTAACACGAAACTGAAACGTACAAATACGAAGGCATCGTTGAATGGTACAGTTGCATAGTACATGATACATATTGTCATTGTTCATTAGTTGCTGCTGCTGCTGCTGCTGCTGCTGCTGTTGTTGCTGTTACAATTATTATAAAACTTACAGTAGTAGTGCTATGAAACCTTTCAAAGGTATAAGGCCCCATCCTATGCCAACTATGATGCCGATCGCTTGCCTGGCCCAGTATATAACGTCGAGAAACTCCTCCTACAACGAACGAAACTGTCGTAATCGTTGCACGAATAAACTGTGTACACGTATCTTAAACATTAGGTGCTGCTGGAAATAATCTAGTCTACTATGGTTATGTTTACTTTGTCCGGCCATTCGGAGTTTGCCGTTATTGCACGTGTCCACACGCTTGACTCGCATCGGTTGCCACCGTTTCCAATCTTCTCGGATTTCGTACGCGACATTTTAGCCAGTTTACTTCTCAACTCTGCAGTGTGAATAGAAAGAACGTGTGATAAAATTCATCAGCATTTCCTGCGCGCGCGAATTGAATTCCGATCGTCGTCTTGCTCTTGCTCGGCGGTGCTTTAAACCTTATCTTCCGCTGCGCCGCGATACTGCCTGCCTGTCATTCACCAGCAGCAGGTGCCATTCACCATCAGCAGCCATATCTCCACTCACTCGAACTCTTGTGAATATTATGGAAACGTGCCAGATTTCATACAATTTTACACGCACGCGTACTAATTTCGTTACACGTCACACCACACGTCGTCGATGGTCGTCGACGACGACCCACCGGCGCCCGCCGCCGGTACTACATACGTAGTACCAGTAGTACCTGCCAGTATTTCATCAGAATGAATTAAATTCCAAGTATCGTCGTCATTTATTCGTATGGCGATCGAATTGTGTCGCACGTATGATTTGATATTTTTATTGTACGCCTGATCGAGCATTGAAAAGATAAGACGTACACTTATTAACACTCGTTTCGAATTTTGTCCCTAACACCTGCACATAGCTGGCTCAGTTTCGTTGTTACTAGCTGTACAGAATCAATGTTCAAAAGAGTATGTTATATTTATTGTATATACGATATGGGTGGAGGAACGATTAATCGGTTGTATATCTGTTTTAATAAGAGTCTTTATTTGCTAGCGATTTATATTGCTGACGATTAATAAGCACACGGTATCAAGATCTGCAAATACTCATGTTATGTACTGCTGCTGGTTTACATTCGTTTCTGACTCGTACAAGTAAAGATACTAGACGCAGTAAAATGAATAGCAGATTTTGAGGCGCGCTTAACGGTACAACGCGTACGTGTACATTAATAGTGTAAATACAGGAATGTATTGAAGAATGTTTTATGTATTTTTATGTGTGTGTGTGTATATACATATAGACACACACACACACACACACACACACACGTGTATCACTCACGCATAATAATCCGTACACACTACACTTGCATTTAACATATTTACACACTAATTTAAACATATTGCGTCTATTACAGGTGATCTTTTCTTCATATATATATATATAAAGATGAGTAGTAATTATACTGAAAGAATGAATTATTACATTATAACTTGTTACAAATATACAAAACCATCACATTTTGGCACAAATATTTGAATTTCAGTTTCAGTATATTCGTATACAATCTGATGAAAATTTTTGCGCGACATTAAACGATCGCGAGGCAAAGTATAAAAATGAATTAATTTGATTTGGAAAAAAACCACCTGCAACGTATAGCAGTACTTTGTCACAACTGTATGCACTTGTACGTAAAGATACAGGTAGATACAAGTTCACAAATACCATTTTGTCACAAAGTTATTGCAAATATTTCCCTCTGTGTGTGTGTGTTCGCGCGTACGCGTATATTTGTCCTGTCTCCATTCAACATACGATTCTTGTTAAATTATAATAACATCGTGATTAGCTACCGTTTACGATACTGCCTTTTTCACATTATTCTGGAAGATTTTTCCAACTTCATAATTTGACGGATACTCAATCGATTGAATCAATTTCATCCGCTAACAAGGAATAAATATTCGTTCAATAAAGAGATCAAGCCTTTTTGGGCGGGTGGTAGATAGGTAGGTTTAATTGTGAGATTTTCGAAATCGATTTCTACGCGACACGTTCGTCTTGCGGTTTTCTATAGAAATATTCATGTTTACATCCGTCGTACAGACTTCTCAGCAGAATACAACGATCACATTTTGCTTTACAGTTCGTTTAAGGGCGAGATGGAGATATACTTAATTAATTAGCATGCAACATTATATGTTTGTTTAAGTGTATATAGATGTCTGTATGTAAAAAGACTTTGACGTTTCGCGTTAATCACGAGCGCAATTATTAGTAAAAATCCAATATCAAATAGATTGGTTATCTATAAGGATCGCGCTATATAATTTATCACCTATATAATTAAGGCTAGTTGATCGACTCGTCTAACTCGTTTATACACGTACCGTATGTACATATATACGCTTGATTCCCTAGCATCTCCGTGTAAATTGAACCGTGTCGGATCGAGATACAAAAAAATTATTCGTAAAAAGCTTCGTCCCGTAACTCATCCGTAAGAAAGACTCCTCCTTTAAATTATCTTTAATTATAATACAGATTATTCGACGAGAAGTCTATATAAAATAGAAAATATGAGTTGGAAATATTACAAAGAGATTGTTGAATCGCGAATGACAGCACACATAGTTTGCCACATCATCTCTTTCGATTCGATCGTCGATCATTAATCCATGTATAGACACAAGTTTAATTTCTTTCTTTTCGTACGAATAGCACGTGTACGTGCTGCGATCCTGTCCATAGTGTTCATGTGCGTGCGCGCGCGCGTGTGTGTATGTACACTTCAATTTCAATGGATCGTTAGACAGTTGACGCTGTACGCTCTACGTAATTTTCTTTCTTTCGGATTCGAATGGAAAACGTTTATTGTATCGTATGTTTTATGGCACACGAATAGGTATGATTTTTCTATCTGCTTTGTGCACACATCAATTCCGATTCTGTTTCCGAGACGTTCCGAGAGTAAAATAGTCGACTACGAACGCGATGTAAAACGAATATAAACGAAAATAACTTGTACGCTTTAAACAAAAGCTCGTATTTCTTTAACAATCCGTTGTGTCTAACTGCAGATGGTTATGTGAAAAGGTTTACGAAAAGTGCAACGATTGATTTCGGAAGACATCCCTCGATCGTCGATTAAATAATAATAATAATGAGATATCGCTCGTCTCTTTGATCGCAGCGGCAGTAGCAGCAGCAGCAGCAGCAAGTAAAATGTATGTAAACAAACAACGTATAAATATTTAACTTTACTAAACGTAACGTACTCGACTTCTTTTGTTAAAAAATATCATGAACAACTATCGAACAGACCACCATCACCATCACCACCACCTTTCTCATATGAACAATGAATTCTGTAGGAATGTTCCGTATTCATTATGATAGTTTTAGTCTTCAGTTTGTTGCTGATCGCAAAGTGTCGAATGATTTTAATACGCTGCCGAATACTTGTTTCTAAATTAAGGTAAACGTCGTCATTGATTTCGAAAAACAAAGTCCTATCCAATCTTTAACCGCCACCGCGCAATATGTAGGTCGGCAATTTATACGTAAGGCTCTCGCAGTCCCGCGCGGTCTCCAACTATTATTGTTGTTGTTGTTGTTGTTATTATTATTAATATTGTGTTAGCACTTCTATTAGTATCTGACTCTTTATGGCACGAACGTTCGGCGTCGCGTACATTTTGTGCCCCACATATAAAATACTCGAATAAAAGATTTTGTAATAAATATCCAGTCGTTTACGTAAAATTATTACCGTGTTCGGTGGTCACGATCAAACGTCAACCACGTCGTTGCTATAGTTGAAATTTGAATCGCGTAAGAATGAAGTACGTCGAAGCTTGAAACTCGTTCGCCGGTCCTCTTCACCCGTTCTCGGTACTTCCGTTTCCTGAACGAAATACACGTATATACATATATATGTATAAAGTTAGTGCTACACCAAAATATCTAAAGGGATAAGAACGATCGATTCATGTACTAATAATACTNTAATAATACCGATTTCAAGCGGCCGAAATAATTGTTCGCAAGCCAACGTAAAAGAAATGATCGAGTCGTCTTCTGCACAAGTTTATATTGCTTTGCGAAACTACGAACAAGGAAGAAAGAGACAAAGAAAATAAACAAAAACAGATACATGAACCGTGTACCTTGACTGGGTCTGGTTGGTTGACAGAACGCTGAAGTACCGACCTCCATGCTGCAGGTGCGGTATGCTCTAAAATAATATGTACAGCAAGGGTTCTTAATCAAAGGCGGTTGCAAACATGCTTGGAATGAACGAGGAACTGATGTCTAATTAAAAATTATGCATGATTCCCTGGCGGTTAATCGATGTACCGATACACCGATATACTGCAAGCATGCGAACAGAAACGAATGTACGGAATGTCGTGGTCGTCGTCGTCGTTAGCAAAACCACCACCATCACCACCATCACCACCACTACTACTTACCGTTCTCCTTCCTTTCGGTTTTACTCTTGTTTGCGAGACTAGCTGCCAATTCCCTGACTGATCTCTTTTCTACGCTCGTATTGCTTAAAGAGCTGGCAGTACTGCTGCTTGCGGATAATGTCGGCGGCAGTGAAGCGGGTCCACTGACGCCGCTGTCCGTCGACTCGTCCAGAGCATCGCCAGAGTCGGGTGTATTGCCCGCCGAAGTATTTGGACTAGAACCGTCGCTTAATAAATTAAATTCACCTGAAAACGGGAAATATGGATTATTTTTCACCAACAAATTTCTTCTTTTCACAGAGACAGCCAACAACGGTTCAGTTCATTCGTTCATTCGTTCGTTCGCTCGCTCACTCGATCGATCAGTTTCTCTTTGCGTACCAGATTTTCTATCGGTGGCCATGCTCCACGGTCTCGGTTTCGGGGCCGTCACAGGTGGAACAGGTTTAGTTTTCGAAAGCGCGCCGTTGTTTTTTCCATCCGGACCACCAGCACCACCACCACCGGCGGCGGCGGCGATGGCAGTTCCTCTGGTCAATGATTTTAATACCGGGGATTTCGATGCTGCCTCCGTCGAGCTACTCTTTGTACCGTTGCCGCTACCGTTTGTCGGGCTACGTAGATCATAGGGTGCGGATCTTAATTTGAGAGGGGGTAAAGCTGGATTCACGGTTTTATCCATCATTTCTATCGTCGTCGACGACTGTTTCGTCGCCGTCATCGTCGTCGTCGTCGTCGTCGTCGTCGTCGATATCGCCGCCGCGTCCTTGTCTGAAAGATTTTTATTACCGATTTCATCCGAGTAATCCAGTAAACTGCTGCGCGAACAACAACTCGTACCACCAGAACCACCGATAATCGGTAACGTACTACGTTTAGACGTGTCAGCGGAATATCCGACAACGTCGTTGTCGTTGTTCTGGCATTTAGCGTTGTCGCCGTTGATGCTCGTCGTATCTTTATTACTCTCTGATTTGACAACAACGATTCTATCGTGATTCTGAACGTTATCGGCCGTATTTCGTCGAGCTAACGGGGACGCGGTCAACGGCGAATCACCTTGAGATCTTCTGCCAACAAGAGGAGAAAACTTTTCTAAATTATCGCTAGACCGTGATCGCGGCGCAGGCTCGAGAAGTGTTTTTAACATTGGAGAACTACAGCCAGGTTTTTTATCCATTTCGACAGGTGGAATGCTTTTGTGACTCGTGAGAGATAAATTTGGACTACCATCGGTCGGGAAGGTATGCAAGGAGCTACGGTTAAACGAACAAGAGTAATTAATTTATGTACTTTACACACTACATCGAATGAATATGTATATGAGAGAGAGAGAGAGAGAGAGAGAGAGAGAGAGAGAGAGACAGACAGACAGACAGAATTCAAGTTATACAGATCATATCGTACCTGTCGTCGCTCGTGGGAGATATGAGAGGTGTCGTCGGTGTTGTCGGTCTGAAAAATACGTCTAGGCCTTCACCGAGGGCGAGACCGTCCACCGTTGACGGTTGGTCGGGTCTCAACATGGGTCTTGTAGGCGCTCTGGTCTTGGTTCTACGTGGTCTAGATTTCACTAAATGTTGCAACTGCTGTCCCGCCACGGTATTAGGTAATTCAGAAACGGAATCCAACGATTCTGTCAACGAGTGTTCTGTTTCGGAAATCGCTGGAAAACATTGACGATATAAACGATTTATTTACGTTACGAACGACGCGTGGACTCGTAACGATGTCGCAACGATAGACGACAACAACAACAACGACAAGAACAACAACAACGTCGTTCGTGTCGCGATCTACCTTCCGCTTGACTCTTTGGCAACGACGACGGTAACAAATCTGGAATGTCATCGGCCGAGAGCCCTTCCACAGAATCGACCACGGATTTCGGCCGTAATTTTCTCCCATGCAAACTTTTTCGTTTGTTCGACAAATGCGGCGTGGCCTAAGCATAAGAATGTCAATTAACCGTTGCCGCCGTAAAATTGCCCCTCGAGCGTTCACGCGCGTCGCATGATACGAGTATAATAGAGCAAGAGAACGAATACTCTTTAAATATGCGCATGACGGTACATGACGCGTTCGTTACTTACGAGATTCAGATAATCCAATTTCTAGCCAGACATGGAATCATATTTTTTTGTTTCCGTTTACATGTTATATTTCGATAAACCTGTGCGATCAAAATAATAACGCTGAACGCGGTAAATATCCTCTTACCATTGGCGATTGGTCACTGGAACGACCACCGATCGAATTGGCCAGGGAATAAGTCTCGGGTGGACAATCTTCCTCGGAGGTGATGCTGGTTCTGCCGCCGACCAGCGGCGGTAACGACCCTGCCGCCGCTGTCGCAGTTACCGTGCCCACGCTGCTCGTAACTCCTATCACGCTTCCGCTGCTTATCGAACCAGCGCTAGGCCGTAACACGTCGGGTGTGCTGCTCCTTGTTCTAGTGTCGCCGCAGTCGCCGATCAAATTTTTATAACTTCTCGACAACGATTCAATCACTTCGTCCGTTATTCTATCCGACACGTGAGCGGCGACAGCTAAATTCAATTCGTTGACCCGGTTAACTATATCCGCCCCGGCTTGCTCCGTGACAGTGGTATGTATAAATTCGCTACTGATTTGATTCTTCTGTTTGCAACTGTTTCGCAGATCGTCTTCCACCGCGATCGACTCGCTGTCGTCGCCCCTGATCACCGTTTGCGACAATATCGTAGGGCATTGCTCGTTCGCACATTTCAACATCGCGTCCAATGAGTCCTGCAAGTAGACGGTCACGACCTTGTGAATTTCGTTCGCCATTTCGTGTAATTTTAATTCGATCGGATTGTTCTCGTCTCGTCTTTGAAGCACCTCGTGCAATCTTGGCAGAAGCTGTTTCGAATTGTCCGCGTCTTGTATGAGTCCCGTCGCGTAATTAATGTCATTATTGGCGTCGCAGCTTTCGGCGGCGATCGCTTTGATGGTATCTTGGGTCTGCACGACGAGCCTGTCGACCATCTGCTGCGTCGAACTCAACAAGAATCCTTGCTGCAATCTGAACGCCTGTCCATGGCTGTACTTGCATGGCGTCACATTCCTCTGCAGTAGATCCTGTATCCTTTTAGCCAACTGTTCGGTCTTCTCGGCGGACGTTTTCATACACGGTTGCAGATCGTAAATCGGGAAGGACATATGTCGCACGCTGCAATTTTTTTCCAATGCGTGAACGATATCGGCGTATCCCTGAAGCGTGATGTTGTTTCTATCATAAACGATGGTTCGCAAATGATTGTTGATCTGTAGGGCCTTGGCCAGTAATCTGGCACCGGGGTCTCCGATCTGATTGCCGCCAATGTCCAAAGTGTGAAGACACGCGTTACTGCCGAGGGCGTTGATCAGATTGTACAGATCAGACTTCAATCGAGAATCGGGCAAATGTAGAGCTTGTAAAACACAGTCGTCCTCCTGGAGCATTTGTACGAGTGCGTCCATTACGACCGCAATGTGCTTGCTCTTCATACCGATGGTATTTCGACCCATGTACAACTGTTTGATGGACTTGTTCTTGCCTATGGCGGTTATCACTTGTGCCAGATCGACGTCCATGTTGCTCTCGGAAATGTCCAACGAGGCTATGCAACGTACGCCGTGAATGCACGACTCCAGCACGTGGGCGCCCGTGGAACCTAAACTGTTTCCGCTCATGTCCAGTTCCAGACCGACCGTACTCTCGTTGCAGGCCAAGCCGAGTAACAAATGTTTCAACGCTTCCATCGGCAATTTACAGCAAGATATATTCAAGTACTTTAACGAGAGCGTGGCTGTGAAAAATTGCTTAAAGCTCGGAGGTATTTCTTTGGTCTTTTTGCTTGAAAACGAGTTGCGAGCAACGTTCAAATGGACTAGATTGGTCGCACAACCCCGTAGTAGAGCACCGAACAGCTGAAAATTGAAAAAACCGGCAAACGAATCGGCCCAATCAATGCCACCGACAATTTTCCGCATGCAAACGGGTCAACACGCATGGGTCGCGCATACTTACACATTCTAGCGTCGTGTCTGTACCACTTAGATCTAAATGAGTTAAACTATTCGGTTGTGCCAAAAAGTTGCATAAATTCTGTAAATGAAACGATGGGCTTGTCGTTACTTTTGTTCGGATTCACTCGGCCGCTGCTTCGTTGCATTATTTGCACACATCCCCCATATACCATACAGACAGGCACTTACATTGATGTCATCTTTCAAACAATTGTCCGAAAGATTCAAATGTTGTAAACTAGTCGGCATGATTCTATTTAAACTTAATGCGTGCGCAATCTGGCTTATTCCTTTTCCAGTTAGTCCACAATGTGCTAGATTTAATTTTTGTAAACCCTTGGGCAGTTTTCCGACAGGTCCGCTCAAGTGTGCAGCTCCTTAAAAATACGTAGCTCTATTATAACCACTACCGACTACTAACGACGCGAAGCACTCGTCGTGTTCGTATTCGTTGAACCGAGCAACATGATGGTTTTAGTCATGGAGAACGGAGAGATCGCAGGCTAGGCAGGAACGAGACTGGGATCGACGATAGGAGGAGACGATGACGACGACGGGTGTTGTTAGTGACGAATCATACCCGCCACCGTACACACCAGAGACTCCTACACACAGATAGATAGAAACGTAAAAAGCGTAAACGGTACAAGGAGGGTTCCGGGGCGTTTTACAAGTGTATGTCTCGACGTTTACGAGATAAGAAGGAAAATTAGGACAAGAGGGATAAACGGTGTAAACCACTACGACGATGTAGGGATCTGTCATCGCCGCTACTTTTCTCCGCGACTGCATTTACCTTTGTCTTCGATGGTGTTGTTCGACAAATCGATCGTATGCAACATCGTATTGGCATTGGAAATTAGAGCCAACGATAATTTATGCGCGAAATCCCTGAAAAACCAGAAAAACAAGAAGAAAGAATTCAAGACCTTTTACGATTCCTCTCTTTCACTCGTTGCGCTTGACACAGTTAATCATAATCCATTTACCATTTGATGCCGAGATTATCCAAGTAAAGTTCCTGAATAGAGAGTGATCTACGCATAACGTGTAACAATCTCTCTAAAGGTTCGTGACTTAATTTGAGATGAGATGCCCTTAATTTCGTGAACCAAGTGTTGTACTCCAACGCGGAAATGATCGGCACCAAATCCTTCTGATCCAAGTGATCGAAATCTCTTAAATTCAACTCTCTCGTATCGTGGGAGAGATATATCGTATCGACATCCTGCGAAATGAATCTTTGTTGAAACGTGGTCGCGAGAATTCGCGAGGACGACGACGACGACGAAACAGACGAAGAGCGTGTTGTATCGCGTTCGATCGACTCGAAGCACCACCACCACCACCACCACTTACCCAGGCTACCTCTTCTCTGTATGGCACGCTGTGCAGATCGCACATACACGCGTACTGGGTGGAGAACCCACCGCAAGGGCCAGTGTGTCTCGTCGCTTCCGTACTTCTAGCTAATTCGCTACCTCTTATACTTTGTAGTCTACTAGCTGGGATCACTTCTATTTTTCTTATGATGTAACTGTAACACCAAGAATTGGTAAATAAATTACTACTCGCGATTACGATGCGCGAAGCAAACTGGCACTCTACGCTACGTAGGAAAGTCATTAGTAATAGTAGTAGGTCAACAGATGAACAATAACAAAGACAATTACTTCAACGGTACAGTGGGAAAGATGTTTCGAATTGCAGTGTGTAAGGCCTCGATCATTGCATCTACTTCACTGGTATCTGCTCCTGCTCCTGTACTAGTAAAGTTGTAGTATCTTTCTCCGACGCTTAACGACAATTGGTTTGCCCTTTTTGACTCTATAGACGTTATCTCCAGGTAATGAAAGTGGCAGTCGATCTATGAACGATTCATGTACACGATTAACGATGTATGAAATCAAATAATAATAATGATGATGGTAATAGTCGAGACGACGACGACGATGACGATGGGTCGGCTCTGACAAACTTGGGGAACTTACTCTTGTCGGCACTTTGGCTGTTAAAAGAAACAGGCGGCATGGCGAAAAAACCTTAAACGGTAGAAACAGAGTTCAGTTTGGTAAGGGGTAACGAACAGACGAATTAATTTAATATCGTGTATCAGCGGTAGAATCGTTATATTTACTACTTACTAGAACACGATTCTCTTGCTTGTCCTGTTTTGTTTCTAATTTCACTACGTTTTTCAACAGTATTTTGACGTGCTTGCCGAGCAATGCTTTCACCGATTCTACAATAAACGAATAATAATTACGAGCCAGTCGAACACACACATTGTGAACGTCGTACCGCGACGAAACCGCGACGGAACCGCGACGACGAACCAGAGATTTCGATAATCAAGAATGACATCACTACGCCAAACCCAATTCGCGTACTTTGGAAAATCAATCGTCAAAGATGTAATCTTGGCAAATCCGGTCAAGCAATGTTACTACTAATCGTTATTAACAATAATCTATTTGGTCGCTGCGTGACAGTATACGAACGTAAACATTCGATGAGAGACAAACCGTTCAAATCTTTCGTGAGTTGCGATCGGGTTGACATTTTGTTGGCTGCCTTATTTTTCGATCATCGACTCTGTTTAAGACATTGTATTCTGTTTCTTTTTCGCTACACGCCCGATAGACTTTCCGTGAACTAGCTTAAAAAAATGCCAAGATAAAGGGCGATGTCACGAGACTATAAAGCGGAATAGCAGCCATATTAGCACCTGCCTGCCTGCCTGCCTGCCCGCCCGCGGCCGCGACATCCAAGAAGATCCACGACTCACTCACTCACTCACTCACTCACTCACTCACTCATTCAGTACACTCATATACACCAAACCGCACCACCGCTGTGCCTGTTGGTGCCCTCGCGCTATATGCTTACATTCATTCTAGTCCATTCCATGTATAATTTTTACTTGGATCGTGTATTATTGTTTCGATTATTTTTTCGATTACAGTTTTTATTACTTTCTGCAAAAAAGCTGCAATTTTGTTTACATTCATTGTCTTCCTGTTATTAACCGGGAGGCGGGGGGTTGGGGGGTTGGGACCGTATTTGATGCAGTTGCCCAGTCAACCATCTGGTGGCAGAATAGCGGCAGATCCTACCATCTTCCGCAGAATCTACCGGCAGGCTGGCGGCAGCCCATGCATTTTCACCTGTCCACCCTGTCCACCACTGTCCACTTTCGAACAAAGAAATGAAGAATCTCATCCCTGTTCATCTCTGGTGGCACTCTCATTTCCTCTCTGGTAATAACAGCATTAGCATTACACACTAGAGATGGCAGCCTGGCAGCCTTCAAAATCACCGACCGTACCGCGCGTTATTGATCCTCTCTATTGTAGTCAAAGGCTGCGCCAGGTTGCGCCGTTGCGTGTCGTTGCGCGGCAACCAGATCAAAACTACTTCTATGTATATGTACCATATAAATAGTTATAAACAGTTATAAACAGTTATAAATCATGCGTTTTCTTGTTTGGATGATGTTTGGAAAGGTTGACTTTACTGTTGGGAACGAAAACACACTACGATTGATTTAATTTGCGTGAGATTACTACAGAATATTTAAGAACAATGGACCACGAGGACGTCCCTACGATATTACACGAATTCGTGCAGCCTCGTGTAATAAATCAAGATCTATTGATCAATTTGATAATCGAACAAGGGCCAAAAGGAACTGCTGGCAAACTGTTTTACGAAGATGGTATCGATTCGAATGAAACTGAGGAAATTCGAATTGAATTTCTCAGTATGTGTAACAGTATAATTCGTAGTCGACTCAAATGAATTATTATCGTAACAATCATCTGTATCTTCTGAACTTTTTAGACATTTTGAAAATTGATCACTTGTGGGTAATGCCAAATCTTGTAAAACTGAAATTATCCAATAATATAATTGAGAAGATAGAGAATCTAGATGTTCTCGTCAATTTAAAAGAATTAGACCTATCCTTCAATCGCATCGAGCTGATGGAGAATTTAGACAGTTTAGTCAACTTGGAGATATTACTTTTGTTTAACAATCAAATAGCTGAAGTAGAGGGATTAGATAATTTGCGGAATCTTACAATACTCAGTGTGGGCAATAATTTCATAGCTGATTGGAAACATGTAAGAGGCACGGGAACACGTAACAATAGATAAGTCGTTCGATACGTATTAAATAATATTAAACTCTTTCCGCAGGTGCTTTACTTGAGAAAATTCAAAAAATTATATAGTTTAAATATGAATGGTAATCCATGCACCAAGGAGGATGGATATTTAGACTATGTATATGCATTTATGCCTCGTTTAATATACTACGAGTACAAAATGATAACCGTTGATCAAAGGAGAGCAGCTAAGGAAAAGCATTAGTAACTATACTACATATATACAAATTATGTATTGGTATACATTGAAGAATGCCGATCCGCCTACTTCGCTATTCTGCAGTAGGGATTTGAACATTCTGGAAGAGACAGAAAAGAAAGAGGATGAAGAACTGCAAGTACAACAAAAGTACGAAGAGAAACTAGCTTTTCTCACGACCGCGTACATGGAACATCTCGACGAAGATTACGTGTTCCATCAAATGTTTCAAGACGATAAAGGTGGTTACAATAGCATTATTAGTAATATACGTAATTAAGCTTTGTAACGATGTTCATCGTATGGATCGTCACAGAGGGAAGAGATCTGTCCATGGTGAACGAAGACACGCAGAATGCTTACGAGGAATACAAAGTGAATTTTGTTGCGATATGTAAAGAATTTTGCGAGGTAGGTGTGAAAGAACACGAGAAACGTATGGAAGAGGTGAATGCGTATGACACTTGCATGGACGAAGGTAAAACTGGCACGCAAAATCAAGGCAGAAGGTATGATAAAGGCGTAGAGAGTCAGAACGTGAGACGAAGGAGAACAAAAACGGGAGGAAGATGCGATACGTAAAAGCAGACTTTCGTCGTGTTTTTCCTAATTACAGAATTGTAAACGAAGTGCTACAGAAGAAGGGCGAATATTTGGCGAACGTCAAACAGTTGTTAAAAAAACTGATCGGAGAAGTGGACACTGCCACGGTGGAAGACGTGACTAAGAAAGCGCAACAGATTGCCGAAGAGTTTCATGATCTGGTAACCGATGCATGGACGAATTTAATGTCCCTCGAAGTGGAACTGCACGAACAAATAGAGGTAAACTGAGACACATCGTAGCGGGAAACGTAACAACAATATGTAGTTTTTTACCACGACGGGGCGATATCTTTCAATGACCACACAGGAAATAAACGAGGTGTTCAGAATCAATATATCTGATATGGTGGAGGCGTTTATAACAACCGCACGGGGATATTTCTCGCAATTGCGTAATTGCGAGGCAGAATATAACGATACCATTAACGGATTAATTTTATACTTGCTCAGCGGTATCGGAGATGACGCGAAACTGCCGCGTCATTTAATAAATTTATGCGAGGACAAGGATATGTTAAACCATAATCTTACCAATTCTCACGAAAGGCATTTACAAGTAACACATTGTCGTATGCTTACTTTTTACGCGTTACGAGAATGAAAACTGTCTCAACTTTTTATTATATTCTTTTTTTACGTCAACGTAATAATAGGTACTCGACGCTCGGGAGGATACTTTGGTGACCCGAGTAAAAGATTGGCTCGAAGAATTGACCAATCACTTGATAAAGTAAATTATTTCTATTTTTGTTTGCTTACGGAGAATAGAATCCCCTTGTTTAATCGTCGTTTAATTAATTTGAATTTTTTTTTGTTCAAACAGAAACGAGCTGGAAAGAAACAGCGAGCGAGTGATAGAAATATCGCATTTTTCGGATTCTCAGCAACAAGAATTCTTACAAATATTGGCGAAATTAAATCTAAAGGTTAACGATCAGGAAATTATAATGGCACTCGACACTTGAAATCAAATGTAGCCAGTTAACCCGGTGAAGGGGGGTAAGTAGGACAGCGGCGATAAACGTCCTTCCATTAAATTGCGCTCGTTTATTCGAAAAATATAATGTCAACATGCTTTTATTTGGACATGTTTAGCTTTAGCCAAAAATGATGCTATATAAAAATATCAAAATTTCAACAGACAGATATCGTAGGCAGGCGGCGGCAGCGTTAAATGTCTCTCCTCATTTTTTCTTCAAAGACTCAATGTACAATTTCAGACCAGCTTGTACTTTTGGCATTTGAACAAACGATAGAAATTCTTCGACATCCGCAGTTCTATTCACTTTCATCCAAAGTGTGTTACGTTTTCTTAAATTCCATTTCGTCCTCTCTCGCCCGATAGCTTTTTAGAAACGTAACGTATTCATCGAATCTCATAAATGTTCGGTTCACTCGTCTTATCTCTACACACGATGATACATCTACATATAGATACTTACGAGGTATGATTCGAAAAGTTTCAATGTAACTTTCACACTGTTTAATTGCGCTTGCCTTGTCCGAGGCTAATTCATCCACGAGTCCGACTCTCAGTGCTTCCTTCGGTTGAAATAATGTTCCTCTAAACGATGCAACATTTTCTTGGCAAATTAATCAACCGCGCAGGCGGTGCCTAACGCGGTCGTCGTCTCGCTGTCAAACAACTATTATTAACAACGAATAATTACCGTAAGAGTGCTAATTCGGCGTTTCGGTAACCCAACACATCGACATAGAGAGTGTTGAACCAATCTGGAGCAGAGATACCCAATCTCGTCTCGTTCAGCCCTATGGTATGTTCCCCGTCGACCAAAACTCTGTACTCGCAAGAAAGTGCCATGAAGCATCCTCCAGCAGGGCTGGAACCCTTTGTAAGCGTAAACAACAACAACCCCCCCTGGTTATAAATCGGTGAATATATCCGCAAGCAGACTTTTCTCGCACCGAGTGTGAGCAAGCCCACGAATAAATTTAGCATTATATAGAAAACAGCATACGTTAATAGCTGCGGCTACTGGCATCTTTAAATTGTATAAAGTCAACCACATGTCTTGTAACGCGTTCCAAAATTCGGTCAATTGTTTCTCGGTTCGATTATACATTTCCATTATATCGAGTCCTGCTGAAAACACGTTCGGCAACGAAGATGTTAATACAACACCTTTACATTCTTTCTTCTTCTGTATATCCACCAAGGTCGCAGTCAAAGCATTTAACAATTCCATATTTAAACTATTTACAGGCGGACGTCCCAACGATACGATGGCAATACCTGCGCGATAAATTTGATGTTGACTAAAAATTGGATTTGTATAAAATGATCCGTCACGACGAGCTGCCACCGAGACGAGTACATACCGGAATCCGGATTGTGTGCAACTTGGATCAGCTTCGAATGCATCGTCGTGCATGCTCTGCATAAAGGACTTTGTACTTTTGTGAAAAAAATTCTTGCGGCAAACATTCTTAAACGTACATCAATCAAATTAAACGATACAAGTATATTGTAAGTTTATCGTGCTCGTTATTCCGTACAATATTCTGGCGATACCTTTGACGAGACGTATTGACGAGTAATAACAGTACAAACTTGCCCGCGGGACTCTACCGCTCCTACCGCTCCCTCGATTCTGCCATCAAAGTAAAATGCTGGTTCACCACCCTGGTATATCAAGTGTGTGTGAGTATGTGTTTGTTTGTTTGTTTGTTTGTTTGTTTGTCTGATCCAATGGTCTGATCCTTTGGCGCAGCTGGTAGCCTGCACTATGCACCGCCATTCCGAGAAACGGAAGTTCATCTAAGAAGGCGGGAGCGTTCAAATTCAGTTAGCGAATTAAACGAGTTGTGTACCGAATATTTTACAGTACAATCATACGTAAGTGAAAGTAGTGACAATTCTGTATAAAAGTTAATGCTGATTTGAATATCCTAATAAACCTATTTTAAAATGTGTACTATTTTTAGAAATAATAGTAATAATAATAGCGTTCATTATTTTTCCTGCTATTGCAAGTTGGAATGAATATATGATCGAGTACATACATACACGCAGTTCTTCACTCAGGAAACTGATTTTTATTAAAAGGATTTGTTCATTTTGTAAATTTATTGTGGTACACTACAAGCCAATGAAACCAATGAAAAAGTTATTCATGGAATAACGTTCTACCTGATTGGGTAGAGTTTCGTGTTGCTGCTGTGCCGGGCAGTTCGTGACTCGTGATACTTGGTATTTGACACCGCGTCTACATACTCCAGCCAGAGCCTACTCTTTCTGTCGTCGTGTTGGTGTCGTCGTCGTCGTCGTCGTCGTATGGGTCGTACGTCGTACGCGATATGTAATGTCTGGTAATGTCTACCATCGTCGTTCAGTAACAAGACATTTCCAACGTCATTGTTAAACAACGTTCATCTCAAAATCTGTGGCGTGACTTATACTTGTATGCACAGCACGTGAGTCACAGTAATATCGATTTCGATAAAAACAGCAATTTCACGTACAAGGTGCGACAATGTCATTTTTCGGAGTAAACGTCAATCCATTCTCGACACCAGTAGGCCAAAAGATTGGTAAGTTTCTTATTTACTTCTCGCGAGACATCGTCATGTTACGATTAATTGTCGTCTCCGAGTTTCAACATTGCTCAAATATAATAGATTACTTACACGTTGGACAAAGAACAAGTGTTTCTTTACCTATAAATCTCGTTGCATCAATTACGTACATACGTACGTACGTATGTACGTATATATTCCTTATGAATCATAACTCGTCCAACTGTCCATATACATGTATATTACACATTATAGTATGTACGTGTGTACGTACGTATGTATGATGAGAGCACTCTGATGACAATTCTACTTGTGTATATTCCAGAACAAGCTACCGATGGTAGTTTACCAAGCGAAAATTGGACGCTAAACATGGAAATATGTGACATCATAAACGAAACAGAGGATGGGCCGAGAGACGCGATTAAAGCAATTAAACGTCGGCTCAATCAGGCCGCTGGCAAGAATTATACTATAGTCATGTATACCCTTACTGTTAGTACTTGTCGTTAAACATTTTCTTCACCGTCTGTTTGTAATTAAATTCAGTTCGTGAATGTTGACGATTTGTTCGTAAACCGATTGATGGATTAGGTACTGGAGACGTGCGTGAAAAATTGTGGGAAACGTTTCCATGCCCTTGCTTGCTCGCGAGAGTTCGTGCAGGAACTGGTTAAGCTGATTGGTCCGAAAAACGAACCGCCGACGGCAGTCCAAGAAAAGGTTCTGAGTCTGATTCAAACTTGGGCAGACACGTTCCGTCATCAGCCACACACTCAAGGAGTCGTCCAAGTGTATCAAGAGTTAAAAGTGAAGGGCATACAATTTCCAATGACCGACTTGGATGCTATGGCACCCATCATTACCCCGGAAAGAGTAAGATTCTCTTCGGATTGGAGATCTCGATACTCGATTTCTGCCGGTGATAACACCGATGAAATTTCAGAGTGTACCCGAGATGGAACAGAACGTCGTGAACGTACCCGCGTCAGAGCAACGATCGGTATCTCCGAACAATAGTATGCCGTCCCCGTCACCACCGCCGCCGCCGCCGCAAGTCCAAGAACATCAGTCTTCTGCGCAAGTAGCTCAGCTGAACGAGCAGCAACTGGCCAAACTACAAAGTGAACTCGACGTCGTGCAACAGAATATGCGTGTCCTATCGGAAATGTTGGCGTACTTTACGAGTTCGGATCAAAATAGTTCAATTCCGCAAGAACCCGATGACGCGGACCTCGAACTTTTGACTGTACGGTCGCTTGTATTTATACACTCTGATTTCCTCGTTTCGTTTCGAATCGCACAATATCGCTCATCATGTTTACAGGAGCTTCATTCCACGTGCAAAGCGATGCAAAAACGTGTCGTTGATTTAATTGGGAAATTGGCGCATGACGAAATGACGGCAGAATTGTTACGTATCAACGATGAATTAAATAATTTATTCTTGCGTTATTCGCGTTACACGAAAAACATGGCTGTCGCCGCGTCTACTATTTTGGCACAAACGATCGGACATCCGCCGGCCATGGATTCGTCGACGGCGATTGCTGCTATTACTACTGGTACTGGTACTACTAGCACTACTACTCCTCCTACTACTATCGGTACTACCGGTAATACTACTACTACTACTACTAAGCAAGAAGCTGGTGGTGATTCGCTCATCGATCTGTCCGATGAAACTGATGCTTTGGAAAAGAAAATTACTGGAATGGGTAGGCGGCAGGCAGTTGTATTGAGAAAATTATAATCTTCTCGTGTTCATTTTATGATTTTATGGATCGCAGGCATCACCGATAATAGCGAGAAAGATAGGATAGATCGAAGAGAGAAAAAACAAGGTGATAACGACGAATTCGACATGTTTGCACAATCGCGCAATACGTCTTACGAGACTACAAAAAACAGGTATTTCATAACGCGGTATCAATTTCAATTATTCCGATATCCGTTCGCAGCATCCCGATTTTTATTGCAGTGGTAGCAAATACGAGGACAATTTGGAGCAGGTGAGCGGAGGGAGTCTGAGCACGGCGATTCTCAACCGCAGTAATCCTAAAAATCCCCAGCAGACTGCTTCTACAGTTGCTTCTACTACTGCTACTTCCGTGCGTAATTCCCACATTTCCCCAATCATATACATGTACCGACAATGTTAATCACAGTACAGTAGTCTACGATATGATAATATTACATTGAACGTTAGAGAGAATCTTCCGTGAAACATATACTTGATATCGGATCGGTTCCGGAATCCGAACAAACCATAATAATTTAGTTACGAATCTGCCTTTACACAGAGGTAAGAGTCGTTTCTACTCGTTTGAACGTATTTTTAACCGTTACATTATATTTTTTGCCCATTTCCAGCATCATCTTACAATTAGTAACAGTAGTAGTAACAGTAATAGTGGTAGTGGTAGTGGTAGTACAACTTCCTTTTCTTTGCTGCACATTGCGTACTACAGCATGTAACAATTAATTTCCGTTCTCTTACGCTTTATTTTTATTCTCATGCATATCGCATCGACGCAAGCATCGCGCATTTAATATTTTGTTGAACATGTTTATTTTTATTTTGTCCGTCTTTTCTTTCAACATTCAGCTGAACCGGGAGTCTGAATTTAATGAAATGGCTGCGTGGCTAGATCATACGGTGAGTCACGACCACGGCATATTACTACAGACATTCACATATGAATCAGGTCTAATTTCCTGAACGATCTCTAAATGACAATGAGGTTTACACACACACACACAGACAGAGTTGCTACCCCGAGATTCAGAGTTATTAAATGTGTATTTTGTCATGTTTTTTCCAGCCTGGAGCGCATGGTGATCAAGAATCCCTGACATCGTCGGAATTCGAACGTTTCTTAGCGGAACGAGCGGCCGCGGCCGAAGCTTTACCAACTCTACCAGCCGTACCACCCGGTACCACAAACACCGGAAGCACCACGGATTCGACAAACTCTGCCACCATTCAACGCCAGATCAACAAGGATCAAGATAAATCTTTATTCGCTCTTTAAATTCTGCTATCCATCCGCCCCTACACACACACACACACACACACACACACACAGAGTTGGATTTTAGCGAAGCTGATGAGAAATTAACAATCATCAAACATACACTTTCTAATCAATTTTCGATCGATGCTTCATCATCTCGATATTAGTGGACATTGCGCGCGATGATGGGTAACGGAGAGGAACGACACAGAGAGAAGAACAAACAAGACATTTTGCGCTTACGTGTGTACTTGAGAATATATAGCTGCGTACTAAACGACCGTGAATTAGTATTCGATTGTGTTGTAAAAATTTCATAATATCGAGGTAAATTATTTGAAAATAATCGTTACGCGTAAATATATTATATATTACGAGAAATAAAACCATCAACTTATTACATGTTAATTGTATATAAAACAAAACACATTGTAAGCAGAACGATATTTGCGTTACAGTGCGTGTGTCATGCGGTGGTGTGTGTGTGTGTGTGTGTGTGTGTGTGTACGCGCGCGTGCGCACGCGGTCTCATGCCTTGGAGCCATGTATAAGAATCAATGATTGATTTGTCCAGTTACATTTTCAATTTTTCAAATTTCCAGCTGGTCCATAAACAATGAATATCGATAACGATTATCTACGAGACAAGCGATTCACTTATCCTGCTAGTCTAGATTTATTTTTCTACCCTCAAACTTGTGTCTCAATTATTTTTGTCTCTCGTATCTATAGACACGGTGGTTAGTGAGAATTTTTATTTTTCATCTAGTATCATCATCATAGATTAATATAAATTTACGATTAATAACAATGTTATATAACGTTGCGTACTGATATATTGCAGATAATTAATATATTCTAAAATTATATTCTAGGAATGTACTACTGTATGTATGATTGATAACGGCAAAGAGAAGGCTTGAGAAGTAAACGTTTACGTTGGTCTTTTTAACGCTATTGTATACTTGTCATCATTTTATTAAGACGAGAGACCGAACGCATTACGAATGACGTGTATTATTGTATATCGAGAGAATCAGCGTCCTTTATGCAATTTTAAAGATGTGATAAAATGTATTACAAAAATCTGTTTAGCCATCTTCGCGTGTTGCACCCTTTCTGTATACCAGTGAACAATTATTATTTTCGAATGTCGAATAGCCGCCAGTATTTTTACTAAATGTGTACGTTGTGTTTTCACAAACGTCCATGTATAGCGCTAAACGTATTCATTCTGTTATAAATGTTATAGGATATAAGAGACGAGATGCGTTATCCTTTTGTGTTTATTATTATACATTTTTAAGAAGGGCGCGAATTGGTAAATATATTCTCATTTGTAAATCATGTTTGACGACGTTCGAATAAACATGTGAATATAGTTTGTAATCAACTTTAAAGTGGGCAACATGCACGTGAGATACGTGCAATTTTCCTGTTTTGTGTTCGTCTACGTAATCTATAAACGCGTGTTATCCAACACCTACGATGGAACAATAACCGCGTTGCTTTACGTTTCCATTGCGCGGATTATTCTCAATGCTTTTAACATTACAAAGCCACATAGGTACGATTCGTCTTATTTGTAATAAACCTTTCCGACGTTCCAATGTTCTTAGCGCGCGCGCGTTACAACACTCCCATGTATAGGTAATGCATATTACGATAATACATGTGACCGGCAACTGGTTCGATGTACATAATTTATCTCGTTATCATACATATTGTAAGATTTGAGAAATTTCGACCGCAACATCGTCCGTTGAGGATTAAGTGTATATAACGTGAAACTCATGATTCTCGTCATTATATATGTTTCATGTATACACATGTATAATGTATGTACATAGCGTGCATACGCCATACATAGTACTATAGATACGAATATATAGAAAACTTGCCTTCGGGCCGCTACCGCGCCCCTTGATAATGAGACTTTTGACGAAACCGCGGGTTCGTAAAGTTTACGATACGTCGGTGCGCGCGAGGTGAATGCATTGGGTGAACATAACCGATCGAGTGATCCCACCAATCGAGTGATCCCACATTTCTGACATACACGCAAGCGTAACAAGTGAAAGGTATCGTCCGTGAGGGATCTCGATCGACTGTGTCTGTCGCATCGTCGTCGTCGTCGTCGTCGTCGCATATGACGCATTCAGTCGTGTTGAGGGTGTGAGGGTGCTGAGAGGGATTCGTCTGGTGAACTTTTCTTCAAAGATCAAACTCAGTTTTATACACAATAATGATGAAAACGGTTCTGTTGGTGGGAATCGTGTTAGCGGGCCTTTGTTCGAGCAGTAATGCCGACGATAAAAAAGGCCCAAAAGTCACAGATAAGGTGGGTAAAATTGATGGCGCCGCCAGTTTACTTGTGCCGTACACATCATATAGCCGATAAAGACGCGTTAACAAAGACTTTGTTTTCGAATAAAGACGAAAGTAATAATTAAAATCCTCGATCGTTGCACAGTGCTGTGCGATAGGTATTGTTCAATTTTTAAATGGATCAAATCCGCCCATGCTTATTGTTCATTCTTTTTCATTTTTAACACCTGCTGCTGTGTGAGCCATGCGGGGCGATGCGACTGTGTTCAGTTTCGCTCACGTATACATGAATTTATTTCGCGTGATTATTTTCAAATTAAAAAAACCGTACGATATTGATATTGTCGTGCTGCGTAGGTATGGTTCGACGTGAGTATCGATGGGGAACCCGAAGGAAGAATCGAGATTGGGCTTTTCGGAAAGACCGTTCCGAAGACTGTCCAAAATTTCATTGAATTAGCCAAGAAACCCAAAGGAGAAGGATACAAAGGCAGTAAATTCCATAGAGTCATTCGTGAATTCATGATCCAAGGTGGAGATTTTACCAAGGGAGACGGAACTGGAGGTTTCATTCTTTTCATTTTACTGTTGGTTCGATGCGTCTCGCGGATTGTACTGTCGGTCAGCCGTTACGACGTTATACATCCTTTGTCATGGTCATTTCTATTTTCTAATTTCATGTGTCAGGACGTAGTATTTATGGAGCCCGTTTCGAGGACGAGAACTTCAAGTTGAAACATTACGGTGCTGGCTGGTTGTCCATGGCAAATGCTGGAAAAGACACTAATGGCTCGCAATTTTTCATTACTGTTAAGCAAACTCCATGGTTAGACGGTAGACACGTTGTATTTGGGAAAATCATCAAGGGAATGGTACGTAAAATTATTTCCCTCGGGTAATCTACACGATGTGACACATGTGTGTGTCTGTGTGACACTTTCATATTGCAGGATATAGTGAGAAAAATTGAAAATATAACTACCGACACGCGAGACAAGCCGACGAAAGATGTTGTGATCGTCGACTGTGGTGCAGAAGTGGTGGCAGAGCCATTCAGCGTATCGAAAGACGATGCTACCGATTAAGTCTCTATTAATTGTGACGAGAATTAATCGTTCACAACTGCTGTATATCGAAAGAGCTCGTCAAGATAACGCGGTATGGAAATTTTGTTACAAACAGATCGTTCGAACCTTTCCTTTTTGTAATTGCTCAGAATATTATGAATGTAATTACGTGAAGACGCGTGAAACTTTGAGAGAACAGAGAGATTATCGTTGAAGGATAAAGATCAAAACAAGAAGCATCCGATCGATAGAATTTTGCTGACTAGAAGCACAAAAAGGTAATACATAATTATGTTTTGTATAATCCATTGTTATCTTATTCCAACTTTTATAAATCCATGTATCAAAATGCAATAAATTTTATATACCTATATAATCACGTTTCACTTTGAAGCCTCTTTAAAGAGGCGCGTACGCTTCGTCGACTCGTCAAGAAAAATGAACGATTCTCTTACCCCCTTCCTATTCCTTAATAAAATCGTGCATAGGTACATTTTTTAAATGCTCACAACGACGACGACGACGACGACGACGACGACGACGACGATGACGCGATACACCATACTGTGTGCCAGTGTTGTCGATTATTCCTCATCGAGCCTTTCACTCACCCGCCCGCCCACCAACCAGTTACCACCACGCGCGACTCCTCTCTTATTCACTTCTATCGCACAATTAACCAGAGTTGAGAACAATTTATTAATACAATAAAGAATCCAGCTTCGTTCAATAGATACCGAGTAGGATCATTGGATAATAACTCGTCGTATTTATGCCAAGAATAGCATTCATGACGCTACGATCCTTTCAGATTCCTCATCCAATCGTTTGCCCTCGCCACCTGTACTTTTTAAGAATACACATTCCTTCACGTCACACGATGAGTTTGCGCCCGCGGTGAACGCGGACGACGCTTAACCACATGCAATATGCAAATGCAATATCGATTATGTAATCTCTACCACCAACCACTCGAATTTTTAATGGTAGTATGCTCTACGGTATGGTACGCTTCAGTATGCTCGTCCCTTTCAGTGTAGTCACGATTTTCTTCTTTTATTTTAAATTATTTTATATTGTATTAATGTCAGGTGGTGATTTCGAACGATATAAAAATCATGTTGCATCGTACATGTCTACTGCTGCAGTGACTGCAGTTGGCTGCAATGTGCCGCAGGCGATGCAAGCCAGCTGCGGACGTGATTCCAATTCTTCCCGATTCTTGCGTCGATTCTGTCAGTAACGGCCATATTAGCAATGAGCAGATGATAATTTTCACTTTGCAAGAATTGCTTAATATCGGAAGTAGTACATGGCAGTTTCACTTGAGAAGGTTCACTATTTTCTTTCGAGATGAGCAGCGTTCGATTTATTGGAGAGCAATTTGGATAAGGGCAAGGAAATTAAAATGTTTCACTTGCTGCTCAGTTATTTTTTTATAACCGGATTTATATTGCGCTGTAATTACACATATTATAAAAAGAAAGTTTATGTTTGTATTGGTAAAATGATTCAAACTTTTAAGTATTTAGCAGCATCGAATTCCTTTTTTTTCTGCAAAATTCAAATACAGCTTTCAAATATTGTATCTTCTTTTTCTTACGACTATTCTTATTGTGACTAGCATTAAGTTTAGATTTTTGATACGATAAGCACTTTAAAAACCTATTCCAAGCATCATCGCTAACAAAGTCTTTTCTATACATGTATTCTATCTTAGAACCATCCATGAAACGTATTCTTTTCCATGGAGGGATGTCTGCAAGTGAGTGTTTCCTGAAATTATAATTTAAATTGAAAATTAAAATATCATTACAGTAACAACTGAAACTTTCATGTGCACGTATGCATAAACAATACCCATTATTGTAAAAGAGAAATTATAACCTTTTTCTGTTGTTCAATTCATTATCTGTATCCGTACACGTTTCAGCCCCTTGATCTGCATTCTGTTGTAAATTTTCATTTTCGATCATACTGTTTTCTCCACTTTTTTCACTTTCGATAAAATTAATAACATTCCTTACTGCTGACTCTTCTATCACGTTTTCTGACGACAGATTAGACAAATTAGGAATATTTCTGTTTGGAATTGCTGTCAAAGAAAGCCTCCGTCTTATCGTGTATTTATGAAAGCCTGGAAATGATTCTTCGTCAAAATGTTCACTGCATATATAAGCAGTTTTGAAATTAGGAATTGTATCTAAATTAATTGCATCAAGCCACTCTTTCCTTAAGGATTCATTTGTAGGAAACCTGTATGTGACAAGAAATAATTTATAAATATTGCATTTTCAGTTTAAGATTTACACAAACTAAACGTTGCAAATAATACAGTACTTACATATGAAAAGTACGATTATCAGTTGAACTTGGCTTTGCTTTGCAAATAATACATTTTTTCACCATGTCGAATAAGTATGAAATATTGTATTTAAACTTTTCCTCAATCTCTTTGTTTCGAGTTGATTATAATGGATTATAAGGTAACTAATAACGGGATAAGACAATAACGCTCGCTCATGGGCTGTAACCAACATGGACCTAACCTAAAGAACGGAGCATTGTGGTGGTGCATTGTCGCGTGAGCGTGACCAAATTTTATATAGCTCAATAAAAAAAGACATAAGACGGAAAGGACATGATTATTATAAAATAGGAGGAAGGTTCTGCTCAAATCAAATATCACATTTTATTTCCTATTCGCATAAAAATATTTGTAGGAGCCAATAATTTCGTAAAAAATTTTATAAGCCTACGAGTTATTTCGTACGAAAAAAATTCGATTGAAAAATTCACATAGAAATGAGAAAACTCAGATTACCTATGTATGTACACAAAGAGCGTGAAAAATAAATTTTCAGCGAGGTAAGTTCCCCTACGTGCTACGTAAGCACGTTTCTTCGTAAGGACAAAGAAGAAGTGTGATTAAAAAGAAAGACACGTGAAAAAATGGACTCCTCCATATTCATTAATCACAAGCGCATTTTAGATGGAATTAGTGTAAAATGAAATGGTAGCTTTTGTATGATACAATAAATATTAAATTAATGGAGAAAGCGTATGATCGAAGATATTCATGGTCGACATTTTGTTCCTGTATAAAACAATTAAGAAACGCAATGAATCGTTGTACGCAACAGAGTTCGAAAAGTGTCGAGATTAATCAATATAATAAACTTAACATTGAAAGCTAACGAGATGATTTCACTGTCGACCAATCGTCAATTAAATATCATACTACCTATGCTGAATCCTTCCAGAGATTGATATGATAATTAACATGAATATCATTAGCAAAAGCAGTCTTTTCATCGCCACTAAACTTTATCAAATTAACAACTAACGTGTTAACGTATCAAAAATTGTTACTCTCCTTCATTCCCTTATACATATTTAAGATATCGCTGGAAGCGGAAAACATCATAATCATCTAGTAAGTATCTACGAGCAAATGTGAAATTTTCCTCTGGGAAATCCTTTTTCCACTCAAAATTTATTTCGATCGCATCCACGTATGAAATAATTTGCATAAAAAACACTTTTGTGTTTAGGAATTCATTCGTTGAAAATTTGACTAGTATTTGATATTTGTAAATTTTAGTTTAATTAAATTCTTTCTTCCTATACGATTTTCGATATTTTTCGTATTTAATATTTGAGTTGATTCTAGTGAGCAGAATGTTCTGAATGAATAAATTCCGATAGCCAGGACTTTACACTTTCTTCTTTTTCATTCATCAAGTAATTTATTTTTCACATTATAAATCTTACGAGAGTGATGAATTAGAAGCTTTCAAAATATCTCTGACATTGAGTTAAATGCCATACGAAAGGTTTGAAAACACATCCAAACTACTTGGAATCTTTTTCGCGCTTAATAACTTTTCAACAAAATAAGTTGCTAAACTCGAAATTGATCTTTTTGCATATTATTTGATGCGTAGATTCAAACAAAATAAATTTTTGAATAAAAACAGATTTCCCCGCAGAAAAAGTTTACCCACGGACAATCCTAACTTACTGCTATTATCAGAGAGACCATCGTCTCTTTCACGGAAATTCAGAATTGTTAATTGAAAAACAATTCTGATGTTCAGCAGCACCTCGAAATACATTTCACTACTTACTATGCATATCTATGACTCGTTATTACTAACTTTCTTTAGGAGGACAGTCCTCATTAAATCTAACGAAGATATTCCACGAAGCTCGATTCTTCAATATCTGTCCAACTTGTTCCAAACTTCTCGCAACTTTCTCTTCATTATTTTTAATAATAATGTAGCTTGCGTTTAGCGATCACTTCCTGGAATAGTCGTCTCTTAAACGGTGGATAATCGTTTCGAGGATGAACGGATTCCTCATAAGATCGTTGATGACTCTTAGTCTCCGGAAACGAGTTTCCTTTCGACTGTTTCTCGCGATACGTCGTGTCCCTGTTCACTTGGACCTCCTCGATGGAAGGCAATCGAGGATGTTTGAACTCTTCTACGTCCTCATCGCGAGGTAAAGGGCGTGTCGTATCTTCCGGAACCGGACGTCCGTCTGGATATACTCGAATAACCATTGGCCCAACCAGATAAGGTCCAGTATGCTCCGACGGCCGAATATAATCATGCACTACCATCGTTTCATCTGCTATGCCGTTTGTATCACTATCGCTGGTGGCTGGAAAAATAATAATACTAATTATAATAATATTATATTAGCATAAATATTAATTATACGTATTCGCATATGTGAGAAAATATGAAATTATTTTATCAAGTATCGAGACTATTAGACCCCGTTCAATTTTTTACCGTTTGATAAAAAGGTCTTGATTAACACTGAGATTTGAATGATTTAACAACAAGTTAACACTGATAATAAAGGAACACACGATTTTCAGAGAGAATTATTTAAATATTTTCCGCACGACTGATTTCTAAATACGTTCACGTAACACGTGTACATGATTTGAAAGTAATACTCTGCTGCTAGACGTGACCTCCGCTAGTAATGGTAATTCGACGTTCAATATTTTCATGTCAATCGGCAATACAATACTAAACAAGTACTTCCTACTTCCGTCAGCTTGTACTTGGACGCAACTTCTATAAGTACGCAAGGACTCTCAGAACTTACGTGCTGGAATGTAAACGATCGGGAGGAACGTCATCTACTTTTCTTTAAATCGAGGAGAACGTTCGATCACATTATGAGAACTCTTCCAACTCTTGAAGTAGAAACATTACATCTTATGTCTGATCACATATAATCTGATCCTTAAAATGATCGATCCATGTCTCGAGGATCATTACACAGAAAAATAGTTTATCTTTTATGGTATGCAGAAAAAGTAGAATGAACCGCGCGGTTGACTCGTTGAGATGATCAGGTGAAAGTGCAGTTATAAGGAGGCTGGTCAAATTGAAAACAAGCCGTTCTATTATCAAATGCGATCTCGTTCAGGCGAATAAAAAAAAAACTTTCTACTGGAACGTGCACGATTGAGAAGCGACTAAAACTTTCTCGCAGAGCTGTTTGTTTCGGGTCAAGTAAATAAAACGTCCGATCCCAACGACCCCCCCCGTTCCTATTTCATGGAGAGTCACGATACTTGGATTTTCACGGTTAATAGCGAAAGTCGAGCCGTATCGCTTCGAAGATCAGTAATGCGTTTAGCGCCGGGTCCCGTACTTATTCTTACTTACTTCCACATTTAATAAAAAAAATTACAGGTGACCTAGGTGATCATTTGGAAAAAGAAGTTTCACAAAATTAAATGCTATCTTAAAAGATTGCCAATGACAATCCTGTGGAGCTCATACGATTGGATACAAGTTTCTGTATACAGATGAAGATTATAGTTGATAAGCTTGACTGTATATATTTAAATCCAATAAGACAAGGATGGCTAATAAATATGTATAGTATACGTATACAAGTTTTTCTATTACAATTACTTTGTTTTAATTACTAGACAGCGAATGTTTATTTAAAATAAAACATTTAAGGTATCAGTTTAAAAGACGTGTTTCAGATAAACATTGAAATATCCATTCAGCTTTTGATATTCTGAATTGTTATTTTTGAATTACGCGGCATTTATCATTTTTGCACATTCAATAATCTTAAACATGAATAAAATCCGCTGCCTATTAATTACAAATTTTGAACACTAGGAATATATACATATATTTTTTTGTCAGGGACCCCGCTATATCTAGAGGCGACTGTGTCAGACATTTCTCAATTGATACGTGCTGTGATATACCTGCTAGTGCGTGTAACACGAGTTTCTTTAGTTTCCTTCAACGATCGGGACTTTCACTAACACGGAGCACTTAATAAAGTGGATCTATCCATTTAAACTTGAGTTGAACTTGACCGTTGGAGAAATTCATGCGGAACGAAACAATCAATAATATTTAAATCCCTTTTATTTGTTTTTAAATTACATACCCAATGAATCGGTACCTGTGGTAAAATAAGATCCATCGGATCCATGCCCGAGCCTTGTTGAAAATGTGTTCTTTATCATAGCATGCCAAACTGCGAGCACAGAAAACAAACGTAAAAAACATAGAAATTAGACACGTGTCCCACTAACCATATCAATTGCCCGATCAATATAAGAAAGCTTACTTATTTCTTTTGCACCTCGCTGATATGGATCCAATTTATCGAGAGCACTATCGTCCATGTTAGCCAAGTTTCGGAGTCCAGACACTAACAGATTTTTATTGCAATCGGGCATCGAGGAATCTCCACAAAATTGGGTGACCTGTTGGCTGAATACTCTGTACAAGTAGCTCATCTGAAATTAAACGTTTTATACGTTATATTTAAAGTAAAATCACCTTTATTATTAGTCGATCATCGCGAAAGCTGTTTTCCATTCCGCGCGGGGACAAATGCATTCAGCGCGCGTCCGGTGAAACTCAGCAATGTGTAACACGCGATATATCAGCCAAGACAGTTATAACAATGAAATATATATGCGTGTTGCGGCCTGTCGTACATCACGTATCGGGTTTTGATTGCGATACACGCCTTTTTTCTTCTTTTTTTTCGTCACGAGAAATTCTGCTCGTGCCCCCGTTCGTGGCTCTGTAAAACGTAATGACCGATGTCCACATACTTTTTGGCTCTATCTATGGCATCGCGATTACGCGAGTGATCAACCTTAGAATTTCTAATCACATTTCTGTAACGCGTCTTCTGTCATGGACCTCTTGGAAATTTCATGTTCACGACACACCGGATAAGTGCGTCTTCGATGTAAAAAGGTGCGTGTTAGCACATCTGCTTGTGCAACAACAACAATTACGCGTTCGTCATCAAGCGGAATAGTGTATTGTAGAATGTTTTCGGTAGAGGAAAAAATCTATCAGCTATTTTTACGTATGATGCGGCATGTGATTAGTATGAATCTTTACAAAGTTGCGTTGTCACGTATCTCAGGTCTACTGCACTATGCGATCGATGGATCATCGTGCTATTTCTAAAACTGTACGATTCCGGAAATAAGAGGAAGTCTAAGCTACATATGTATGGGCAACCCTTGGCAACTCCACTTCTTTTCTATCTGACTCTAATTACATTTTCATTTTGAATATTCCTTACTAAATAATATTTATAAATAAACACATTAAGCTTCGATTCATTATTTAACACTAAACAGTACATACTATACTTATATCTTTTACATTTGAGTACACACTCGTCTACGCAAACAAGATATCATCAAAGTATATGTGTAATACAATTAGAAAATGGAGAAAGTTTAATGGGGACAACTGCGTCCCATCGATGCAGGCTTCTTAAGGGAAGAAAGGATCTGAGCCCAAAGTCCACGCCAAAGCGATAGGGTCGTTCTAGCGACAAAGTCGAATAAATAAATGAAGTATTTTGTCGTTTTATTGATTTTTTAACGCCCACGTTCATACTTAATTCTTGCGCCAATCCTTATTCCGGTTATTAACCAGAATTTAATCTTACACATGGCTTATTTCGCTTATGATAAAAAAGGCTTGAGATAAAAAATTACGTCTTGGAAATTTTAATTAAAAATATATGGTAAGCGTTTCGAAGAAATCAATCTGATTGGCACAAACTGCGAGCGCAATTCGTGCTGTGGATATGGCAAATGTAGATAAAGAATACGTTCTTGAACTTCAACTTATGCGCGATTACTTTTACTAACACGCATTGCATTAAGTACGTGCGCCGCACGTAAGGCACTGAAATGATTTTCACGCTTTTTTCCTCTGACGAGAGATGTATGATTTGTCTCTATGGATGATCACTAGAGTACTTCAATTAATTACGCGTGTTTATAAGGTATGAAATTTATAATCAATTTTACATCGACTCTAATGAATTATCGTACACAGTGAGAGAACATTCAGGAATGTATTCAATATCTTTATTTACTGATAAACTATATCTTACTTTATGTCGTTGAGAAGCATACATATAATAAACATCATACGAGCAAAGGGATCATAAGATCAACTTTTGTTCTATTATTGCCAGAGACGTGTGTAATGTATTTTACCACATAACGTTTTATTTGCCATAAATATACAAATGTATAATATGCAGTTTTCAATACCATTTTCTACGTGTCGTGTTGCAAATAAACAATTTTATAGAAATTTAATTAAATAAGTAACGTTATAGTTGCTCCTATTTACGCACAAACAAATCTGCATCTATTTTTGGCACCAATGTATGGATTTTCATTTCAGATATGGCGTCATTTACGACATAAATTACATTTAATTGTAAGATACGCGAGTAAAAGAAAAAAACAGTTGTCGAGGTACTTTTAATAGTAGGCGGTGTCATTACACGTATTCAAAAATAGAAAAAAAATAATAACGCAAGAAGAAGGGCATACTTAATGGTATGAGAAAAGTCAACGTCCGATGCACGCTCGCTCGCGCAACTTCACTCGACCGGACTGCATAAATGCGCGGGGAAGAGAATTTTCATCGAACGCACTCGATTGTTCGGTGAAAGTTTGCTATTGTACATAGATAAGTATCACGTTCTAGTCGCAAGCTTTACCTTATTCAGAAAAAGCTAACCTATGTCTATGAAGAAGGGTATGAAGGCTCTTTGAGGTACCCCGTCCCTATACTTAATAAAATAATTTTATATCTCCTTACGTTATTTCATTCCATCATTCTTCATCTCTACTTCAATCGTTATCTCAGCACACGACTTATTACTACTACTTGAAAAATATTTTTCTATATGCGCATCTGTATGCGCATATTAAAAATAATGACAAATATTTATGTTATGTTGTGTTTGTTCTTAATATACTATAAATTGACAAAATAGTGTACATAACTAATATAATAATAATCATATTCCTGTGATCTAATAAAAAACACTATTGAGACGCTAAACGTATGCAAATATTGATGTCGAAAGATACTCGGTTCGGTATTCAACTATTCTACCGGAAGCAGAAGAAACAGTCTGGGGTTAAGCAATACGAATCAAAATTCCTAATGCATATTCGATCACATAATATGCATTAACGCCGCCATCGTGATTTAAATTATTTTAAATAAGAAACTGGAGACAGAATCATGGGCATGGAATTCTCTGTCACGATTTACATACACGTATTTTGGAATACATTTATAATTTATAGCCGAGTATAAGAAACAATCCTTACTTTCTCATCCCTTGAAAGAAACTCCCACATAGGTATCGCGGAAGCAGCGACACTCAGGGCATGACATCCGAGTATCAAGACAACAGCAAGTGGCACAAAAGTTCTCAAGTTCCTCTTCATAATTGCTGTTTCACTTTGCTCGAGCAATTATCGCCAACACCTTTCCCGTTTACAGATAATCTAAAGGATTGAGTACTTCACACAAATACTATCAATTAAGAAACTAATATTTGCGCCTATTCAGGCGTGATGCCAAGCTAAAAATTGCTCTAATTGTACAAGTATTAAAATGCAGAGGCTTGGTAAAGTTCACGTGGACTCGGGCGAGTGGAAACGATAGAACAACCCACTCTTGCCGAACGATCTCTGCAAACTGGCTAGATTTTCTCCGTTCCTTGGTTATATTGTTCGTTCGATGCCACTCGTGCCACATGCCAGTGACGTCTACGAAATCCCAGTCTCCCCACTGCTGCTTTCAGGAACAGAATCCACACTGGCCACTGGTATTTACACACTCTCCACCCAATTACCAAAAACTTTCGTGAGAAAAAAAAACATTGTTTTTCTCCTAATCCTAATTATAACACAATGAGAGAAACTACTATGGCTTGGTGATACGAATACACTCACTCATAAATATTCGCAGGCTAGAGTATAGTTGGAAAATTGTCGGTTCATATCGTTAATTATAATCCATTTGTCGAATTTATTCTTATTGAATCGATTAATGCACTTCCTCCACTACACATGTGTATGTATACGAATGTAAACTGAATGCAATCGATGAGGAAGAAGAAAAATATATAAATTCCGGGTGAATTCATCGGTTTAGTAGATCCTGTTCACACAGAATTTAAAAACTCTAGGAATTTTTTCAATTAGATATCAATACTTCTCGTACGTTGGGACCGTAGATATCCCTATACTTAATAAAATAATTTTATATCTCCTTACGTTATTTCATTCCATCATTCTTCATCTCTACTTCAATCGTTATCTCAGCACACGACTTATTACTACTACTTGAAAAATATTTTTCTATATGCGCATCTGTATGCGCATATTAAAAATAATGACAAATATTTATGTTATGTTGTGTTTGTTCTTAATATACTATAAATTGACAAAATAGTGTACATAACTAATATAATAATAATCATATTCCTGTGATCTAATAAAAAACACTATTGAGACGCTAAACGTATGCAAATATTGATGTCGAAAGATACTCGGTTCGGTATTCAACTATTCTACCGGAAGCAGAAGAAACAGTCTGGGGTTAAGCAATACGAATCAAAATTCCTAATGCATATTCGATCACATAATATGCATTAACGCCGCCATCGTGATTTAAATTATTTTAAATAAGAAACTGGAGACAGAATCATGGGCATGGAATTCTCTGTCACGATTTACATACACGTATTTTGGAATACATTTATAATTTATAGCCGAGTATAAGAAACAATCCTTACTTTCTCATCCCTTGAAAGAAACTCCCACATAGGTATCGCGGAAGCAGCGACACTCAGGGCATGACATCCGAGTATCAAGACAACAGCAAGTGGCACAAAAGTTCTCAAGTTCCTCTTCATAATTGCTGTTTCACTTTGCTCGAGCAATTATCGCCAACACCTTTCCCGTTTACAGATAATCTAAAGGATTGAGTACTTCACACAAATACTATCAATTAAGAAACTAATATTTGCGCCTATTCAGGCGTGATGCCAAGCTAAAAATTGCTCTAATTGTACAAGTATTAAAATGCAGAGGCTTGGTAAAGTTCACGTGGACTCGGGCGAGTGGAAACGATAGAACAACCCACTCTTGCCGAACGATCTCTGCAAACTGGCTAGATTTTCTCCGTTCCTTGGTTATATTGTTCGTTCGATGCCACTCGTGCCACATGCCAGTGACGTCTACGAAATCCCAGTCTCCCCACTGCTGCTTTCAGGAACAGAATCCACACTGGCCACTGGTATTTACACACTCTCCACCCAATTACCAAAAACTTTCGTGAGAAAAAAAAACATTGTTTTTCTCCTAATCCTAATTATAACACAATGAGAGAAACTACTATGGCTTGGTGATACGAATACACTCACTCATAAATATTCGCAGGCTAGAGTATAGTTGGAAAATTGTCGGTTCATATCGTTAATTATAATCCATTTGTCGAATTTATTCTTATTGAATCGATTAATGCACTTCCTCCACTACACATGTGTATGTATACGAATGTAAACTGAATGCAATCGATGAGGAAGAAGAAAAATATATAAATTCCGGGTGAATTCATCGGTTTAGTAGATCCTGTTCACACAGAATTTAAAAACTCTAGGAATTTTTTCAATTAGATATCAATACTTCTCGTACGTTGGGACCGTAGATAAAAATTGGAACAGTTCCCGATAGATATGAAACGTTATCAAGAAATTGGTAGTTTGTTAGATATAAGTAAAAGTAATGTCGCTGATATGATAAAAAGATAGATGAAAATTACTTAATTCACACGAAAATGTGTAGAATTATACGAAATTATACGAGATCGGAGTACGACCCAGATCGTTAGGAGTACATAGTATAACACTGGCCCGCAAGTACAGTACGGTTTACATAAAATATTAATATTATTAATAGCATTGTATAGAAGCACAAAGTTTTTTTTTTTTTTTTCTTAATAACAGGTATTAAGACTTGTACACAAAATGTAGACATAAAGATTACGCTAGGCGTCACGCCCAAACGTAATAAAAATACTAATAAATAAATAATAATTGTGTCTCCATTGGTTACGTTTAACGATCGAACCAAGTTACACGAATGTTGGAAAGCAGAATAAAAATTTGTAAATACACGTGTTCGTACGGAGCGAATTAAAGACAAGTTTGCATACGATAGGAAGTTTACGGAGTTCATTGCCAATCCTGCTCATCCGGTTCTCCCAGCTGAGTTAGGTCCTTAGAATTCCTTAAGACACTGTGAGTCCTTCACCAAAGATACGGACAGAAAGTAGAAAGTTATTGCAAAGAATGAAAACATAGAAAAATTTATTTGACTGTTTTAGAATTAAAACTATTTAATTGTAACCCTTGAAATGTCGATGACAATTCAACGGATCGGAGTAAAAAGTTGTGGGTCCATGCTATTTTGTATTTCAAAACATTTGTAATTCAGAACACGTTTTTTTAAAGTGTTTACTACAATCTGTTTTGCCACGAATACACCGAATACATGATTTATTTTTGCATAAAGAAAAAAGTATGCGGCCGTTCAAGGATCTACGTGACGTAGGTTAATGATCGAACTATAAATCAATATTCGTCGAGAAATTCCTCCCACTTGTGTTCCACGCCGTTTCGTAGAATCTGGACGTGAAAGAAAGTCAGAGGTACATCGGCAACATTACCATATCAATTAGCATTTTTAATTACGTGGCTCTTAGTTAAAATAATGTTTATACGACTCATTTGGGACAGTGTAATGTAATCAATAATCGTGACAAAAATATTTTACGTTCAGTATTAACAATGGGATCTTTCACGATGAAAATTGAAATTGAATAAACGCGCTTTCATAAGCTTTAATACAGCAGATTTTATGCATTCACACAAAAATTGTATCAGCAGTGAACGTAAAGAATGTTTGCCATGTTTAAAGTTCAAAGATATACAAAATATTAAAAGACGGCTGCTTATTAACAGTACAAATATAGTTTGTATAATAAAATGAATGTCTATTTAGAATTATTTTAAGGATGTATTGGTTATACAGTCAATCCGAAAAGTNGCTCGTTAACTATTGACGCTAGCGAAAAATTTTTACATGGAAATTGTAGATCTTGTCGTCCTCTACAAGAAAGATCTGATGCAATTTTTCCATAAGTCCAACGGTTTGGGAGTTATTGGGAAAAAACGAAAATTTCGCAAAATCTGAAGGGGTACCCCTTGGAAAAATCTCGGAAAAATCGAAAATTTTTTTTTTGTTGTTTATTATTAGCAATGTTCTTCCGACGTCTGATTTCTTTTTAAAAAATGCGTTTCTAACATCTAAATAAACTTTTGGGATTGACTGTATAGCCAATACATCCTTAACTGGTATCATGATTGTTTCGTTTTGCATAAAAATCCGCAGTCTATTTGTAAATGAATTGGCAACGATGCAGGTGCATGTCGCGGAATAAGGAACCTTGCATTATGCGCGCAGCTAAACGACGATAATGCGAATGGGTGTTTGTTACCGCAACCAACGTTCCATGTTATCTCGACTATCTCGTTGGATATCTAATGGTCAGCGTGCAGTCATTCGACTATTATGTAATTCGGATTCCACAAGAATAGGATCTACGTCTGGAGATCTCATACCACGAGACGAAAAATATTTTTACTTATGTTCAGCGTGAAACAAATTAATAATCAATGATGGATATGATGTTAAAAAGAAATTATGACATCATATTTGTGTGGAAAATCGGGCAAGTTTGGAAAACGATCACTCTGATTTTACTGTAAAATGTTCAGGCGAATGCCCACGAATGTGGAAGAGTGGTTTTCTCACTTTTTATCGTCCACCGTTATCGTACACAGTTACTGATCTGCAACCATTTTTCGGTTAGAAACGTGTTACACGTTACGCTCGTGCAACGCTAATGGAAGGCAGATTAAATTGCGAAAAGCAATTTGTTCACAGTCGAATGTCCTTAGAAGAATTGTATATGTATATACGCCGTGTTATACAGAAACACGGTGATTCGTTGACCAAGCGTGTTGTTCTACTTTCCAAGGCAATCGATCACGGCACGCGGTCGATAACTGTACGTTTACGGACTTTCTGCGACTTTGATCCATGAAAGTCTCTGAAATGCGAATGTAATTTACACGGTACGTTTTATAGAGCAGTGTGAACTGTACGTAAACTGGGTCAAGGAGTTTTATAATAAACCCTGAACGATTTTTAGCATGGTTAGTCATACGGTTCTACTGGTAATAATACAAGGTGGTTTAGGTGGCAAATTTTTTAATTGCCGCATTAATAATCAACGATGAAATTTCTGTAAATCTGACAATTGGCGTATTCTTTAATTAATAATTAAAATGGTTCAATGGTTAATTCGAATATTTTAATCGGTAATTAACCAAATACAAATAAGAAATGAAACATTAATTGCCAATTGATGTTGTTTGCTAGTACTTATATAATCCATCGTACATAAGCTTCTATGAAAGTATAATTTCACGTCGGTTAAAATGAAATACTATAGAGAATAATCCAACGATCTGAAACGGAGAGCGGGATGCACTGAGGTAGCGGACTGCAAGGTAGTGGCAGAGAGGAAAGCTTCCGCTTTTCATTGCTGCGATTGTACAGTCATCCGACATCGAGAGAATAAATTCATGGTGCGGAATTCGTTCCGGTCGACGTAATAGTTGCCGGATGCTCGACAAACAAGTTCTGCTGACGCCGCCGGTTTCGTATAATTTCACATTACAAAAACCAACGTGAAAACCACTTAAACTGTTACTCGTTACTCGATCAATCGATTTCGAACGTAGCAATTTTATACTGTTATGACCGATGAATCAACCGTTAATTTTACGAGGAACATGCCTGACGTACCCTACCTATCATAGAATATGTAATTGAATTTAGGTCCATAAAAATAGTTTACCACTGACGTTCTCGAATCTCATCAAGATTTCTCTTGGAAACTCGTAGTCTGCGTAGAAAATATTTTTAATCCGATATACAGTAGAACCTCCGTTATATCAACACCCACTATTCGCGAACATTCTATTGTATGAACCTCTACTGTTAGTTAAATATTCTGTTATATGTAAGAACAGTAAATTTTCTATTAGAAGACCACAGATTCCTTATCTCTGATATATATGGTTCATAAAAATTTAAACGATAAGCACAGAGAAAAATAAAAGCCGATATTTCGACTAACTAAACCGATTAATAAATTAGGCGTTACTAAAGTACTTACTGTAATACTCCGTAACTTTACTACGACTGTGCGTACAATGTGTATTTAAAAAAAAAATGTTAAGCGTTTAACGGCACAATGGCTAGGAAGTAAAGAAATAGTTAAGTAAGTTATGACTTGCCGTCGATAACTGTGTCGGCAAAATGATTATGTATCATTATGTATGCGAGAAATTTTTTAGCCCGTAGAATGACGTGAGAACGTGGCGCCAGTGAGGAATGCAGGACCACTGCCTACGGAACAATTCTGTATAGGATTGATTAACGAGTGTCGAAATACAACTGAAAATTCCTTAAGTTTGCCAGGTAGTCTTGGTATGGCAATTTGTTAGAGAATGAGTCGAATTTATCAAGCAGGAACCTTGTTCGAATAGGTATACATACATACTTCTTTACGAGAATATCCTATTCGGCCTTTGAAGGTTGTATCGCAGACTTCATGCAATAAATTATTTTCAAATGTATATCTAAACAGCTGAATACTTATACGACAAGAATCGGAACTACGCATAAAACAAGTTTTCACCCACTAGTGTAAAAATCAAAAAAACATTTTACGTATGGATGAAATAAAATTTTTTCTCCTTCCAAAACTGTGTAACAGTACTTATACATATATTTGATTATACAATGTGTTTAAAGAACCTACGCAAATTGAATATTTATTTAGTCTGAATCCAGGGAATTCCAGTATTTTAACATGAAATTTTATGAACGTCAAGCGAAATTTATGTATAATCAGTTTTGTTTCCATTTCTTAAGATTGATAACATGTTAGTAGCAATGTTACTTAATATTAATCTTCTACACTCAAGATAGATGAATTATTTTCAAATTTTACAGACCAAATCTGTACGACAGTATCTGTAATACAGACGAAGAATAACGAGTTATTTATAATAAATGTTTTTATACTTCCTTGAGCACTGGAGTACTGTGCCTGGGTCATTTCTGACCCATGAGTATGCGTTATTGAAATATCAGTGGGTTAAGCATGACCTGCGAGCACGCATTAGTGAAATATCGGTGTAGGTCAAGAATAATCCAGGCACAGTACTCCAATGCGTAACTTACTGTAAATAACTCGTTAATTATTGAGCGTATCGAGAAATGTTTCCAACAATAGTTGACAAGTAAAGTAGGTAATCACGGCACATACAATTCTTATTTGAAACTCTTTAACTTAGGTTCAATGAATAGTAAGTTATTTACAATAAACAGTTTTATGGCGTCAGGATACAGTATTAAAATGCATAAGCCAGCATAAAAACGTTTAAGAACAAACATCTCTTTTATTTCAATTTTAAAGATACTAGTCTTACATTGAGCTTCTGAGCCCTTCATATGCAAGTATGTACATAAATGCTATAGCTCGTATGTGCATCTCTGTAAATATAACAATGACGTCATCGGATGACGTCAGCGTTATGAACGTTTCTTTAACTGTCGCACAAATTCGTGCCTCTACGAATATACATATAGTATACTTTAGATACCTGTGTGCAATTTTATTTTACAAGTTATCTACACGTCCAAGTCTTCGCTGGCTTGAAAAAAATATTTAACAGCAGCTGAAAGATCATTTAATACGATTGTAACTTATTATCTATAAAAGAGACTTATTCGTGACGTTATACATATATGCAGGAATCATCAATAGAATCATCGCAATACAAGTCACATTACGATTATACAATGATAAGATAATTTTCATTTATATCGAGTGACATGAATCATGAATAAATATATATTTTATTATTTCAATATGAGAGATTCGAAACAATGGATCATCCTGCGATATTGGAAATAAAAACTTAAAGACAGGCACATGTCTTTTAAAAGTAATTGTACGTATGCATATACTTATTGTTAGTCATACAACTGTATCAATGTTTGTGGCTTGCACACTTTGTACTGTAAGCACACATATGCTTGACTGACTTATGACACTCTGTAAATACTACCCTGTATCGCAACAATTATAATATCAATATTCTTTTTTGTACTTGTTGAAATATGAATAACGAAACCGTTTCAATAGAACCACATGTGTTTCACGTGCATTAAATAATGTATCAATTTTTCCCTTTACTTATAAAACAAGAAATGATTATACCTAATCTAACCTGACCGAGCCATTCATCCGATTATTTGAGCAATTAATGCTGCATTAGAAGGGAGCGTTGTTTACGAACAAGTCCGATATTTAACTATTAATAACCACAAAATATTGAACATAGCGAACCGCGCGATGTTACGATCGTGCCGCCTAAATTAATGCATGTCAGTTGCAATTTATCGGCAATAAAATCAACGGAATATCGAATCGAGGAAAACGCGGGCTAGAGTATCGGACGTATGGGAGATGCATCGGGCCATCCATACACAAGCATCATTTACACACACCAACACCGACGTTAACACGGCACACGGACACGATTAGGCTTGGACGGGGCAAAGGGGAACCGCGTCGGCCATTTTGATCGTGACGCGCAGCGCAGAGGTCCTGGTTTCCACCAGTGACGAAGCCACTGGAGTTTTGACGTGGCTGCTACGTACCTGCCCGTTTGCCCACTCCGATTGCAGCAAAGTTGGTGACGAGAAATACGTAACTGGTAAGTACCCAGCTGGAGAATAATAACAACCGGGCATGGACCACCGCACTTACGGTGCATCGAAAATATTGCCGAAACTACTAGCATTCGAATCCACGACCCCGATACAGTCAGTTTTACGTTTGCTATGGAATATACCGTAAAATATGGCGCCTTTCGGAAGATGTACGAATTTCTTGAAAAGGGCAACGAGGGTTACGTGACTGATTCTGACACCTCTTTCGATCCGGTAACAGTGACACGCCGTTTTATCGTCTGGTATAAACCCAGCAACGTTCGATTACTTTTCCTTCGTCATTTCTGGCCCTTGGATCGTGTACGAAACGCATCTTAAAGTGTTTATTGTTCTCGTATTATTTTTAGATCTGCTTATGTAAATGACGCAGTAACACCGCCGATCGCCGACTAGCGGGAAATTTAAAAGTTTCCCATGTACGAGACAATACTTATCTTTAATATGGAATTCGATTCGTGATTCGATTTTTAGTATGTCTGAGTAATTATTGGATAGAATACTGTACGTTTCTTCTTTCTACGCGTTTTCTCCAGAATTTTTATCTTTTATCACTTGATGATTTCATTATTGTTACATTGTTAAAATATTCTTTTCTTTTTTTTTTTATATCTTAGGGTGTGAGGTTCCCAGGCTATGGAAAGTATGGTTGAGGAAAATGGATCCGCTGTTGACCCATTGTCTACTGGCTCCCAAGGTGGTGATGCTGCGCCAGCAATAGCCACATCGGTACAATCTCTCAATAGAACACAGCAGCAAACTCATCATCTGGTAACTTCCACCAGCATTGTGCAACTGACACTACCTACGTCAGCAGCAACACAGGTATACAGGAGTAACTCCTGTGTATCTATGTCTGATATCATTTATTTGTCTGTCTTCCCTTCTATTTCAGAGCATGCATATATAATTGTTTATTTTTGCTTTTAATTATAGGTATCAATTAAATAGGCACTCCATGTGCATATTAAATCTTGCATAATGCTGGTTCGAATTAAGAAGCTAATATTGCAATTTAGTTTTCTTAATTGATTATTTACTTTCTCATTCGCTGATGCAATCAATCAAATTTTATGTCCGACGTAGTGGCGAAAACTTGCATATGCATGATAATACTCAGTTTTTATGTATCTCGTTGCTATATATAAATATTCATATCCATTTATTAAATATTATCTACTTTTACTACAACAAACAGTTTGTAACGAGTTTGTTTTGTTGATTGTAGGTACAATCTGTCATACAGCCTAATCAACAGTCAGTTATTCAGACTGCAACAAATGTTCAGCCTGTTGCTATTTCAAAAGGAAATGTTATACTTGTTAGTAACAAACCTAATTCTGTTATACAAACAGCCCAAGCAAGTTTGCAGACGCTACAGGTAAATTGAATATTAAGAAATACTAAGTTGAAAGGATAACAGGACGGTGCGCATATTAAACTGTATGATATTATTATTGTAACAGGTAGTTGAAACTGGTAGTGATGACAGTTTCTCAGATTCTGAAGAGTCTTCGGAGCAAAGAGGAGGTATTCTCACCAGAAGACCGTCTTACAAGAAAATTCTCAATGATCTTGGCGGTGGCGAAATTACAGGTATGATCAAATCATCATACTAGAACCTTCGTCATGTGAACAGTATTTTTTCTTATAATACCGTTTGTTAATATACGAGCTGTTTGTACACGTTTAGGAGCTAGCACATAGCTAGAACCAATTCGATTTCTTTTAAACTAATAGTTTTTATGAAAAAGGTTTCAAATAAAAGCTGTATGATATCAATCATGTTTAGTGTACATACCAAG